GGTTAAAATAATAATTTAAATTATTAATTATACCTTTAATATATATAGCATATTTTAATTTTAAGGCTAGCTATAGCTTTTAAGTTAAGAATTACTTATTATATTAATATTATAATAAGCTTATAACTTTCTTATAATAAGGCATTTAAAATAAAAAGAAACTTTTTAAATCTTTTTATATAATTTTTATTAAAATGATATATTATAAGCGGTTTAATATTTTATTTAAAATTATAATATATGCCGCTAAACTTAGCTTAGTTAATAGTTATGGCAAGGCTTATTTTGCCTTATTCCTTCTTTAAATTATTATTAATTTTAAATATTTATTAACTTTATAATAAACTTGCTAGCTTATAAGGGCGGCCTGCATTACTTAATAATTATTATAAATTGCTTTTTAAAATAAGTTTTCTTAAAAGTAATATACTTTATAATTATAAAGAATTGCATATAATGCTTTATTACTTTATAATAGCGTTATTATAAGTTCCTTATATTTATTATTAGCAATTAAGGTTTTAATTAAATAAAGGTATTTTAAGCTTTTTTATATACTTAAGTAGGCATAAAACGCTTTTTATTTATAATATATTACTTTAAAATAAATAGTAGTATAAAGTGGATAAATTAAGAAATATAGAAATATTTATATAATGTCATTACCTTTTTATAAAATAATTAAGTTAACTACCTTTTAGCTTATTAAATAGCGTTAAATAATAGGGATTTAATAATAACTAGCTAAAGCTTAAATTAGTTAATAAATAAGTTTAATATATAAATGGTTTTGGGCTCCTTGGATATAATAGTATTTACGGCTAGCCTTAAGGGTTGGGTAGCTGCGTTTTTGGATTATCTTTGGATTGAAATGAATATTGCTTAGGCCGTTATTATTTTTACTTAGCAATAATAGGAGTAGATAGCTAATAAACGCTGCTAAATAATGAAAAGGTTTTATATTAATAATTAAGTATGGCTATTCTTAAGGTACTTTTAAATTACTTAATTAATAAAAAAGCTTAATTAGTTATATTAAAAATATATTATAATAAACATTCTTATATTTTAAATAATTATTTTAAATATATTAAGCTAAGTTTATTTTATCTTTAATATTAACTAAGTTAAATATATTATAAAGGATTTACTATTTACTTAAATATTTATAAATACTTAGCTAAGTATTATGCTAGTTTTAAATAAAGTAAATAAGGGTTAAGATAAGAAATACCTTATAAAGAAAATCCTAGCAATTAAGAATATATTAAGGTACTTATAAAATGATTTTTTTAAAAGGTAGGTTTATATTAAATGAAAAGGTTAAAATATATTAATATAAAACCCCTTTAGGAATTTATAAGGATTAATAGCTTTTAATTTATTTAAGGCATAGTAAAGGGATGCTGTTATTTATAAAAAATTACTTATTTAAGGTAATTATAAGGTAAACTTACGCTAAACTTAATAAGCTTATTTAAAAATAAGGTATAAGGTAATAAGGGTTATAAGTAAGGATAAAATAAAAATAAATAGTTTATTTTTATTATGCTATTTAATTAAAAAGGCAGCTTTACTTATATAAGCTTTAAATAAATTAAGCGGAGTAAGGTAATAATAAAATTTAAACCTATAATTTTGCTTATAAATAAGCGCTCTTAATTAACTAGGATTTATTATATACTTATTTTAAGTTTAGCTAGCTCCCTTCTTTAACATAGCTTAAATTATAATAATGCATATTTTTATATATTAATAGCTTATATAAAACTTAATATAGTATTTTAATTAAGTTATTTAAAAAGCAAGAAATTTATAATCCCCTTAAAATTCCTTTACTTATTACTTTATTTAAGTAAATATAATATATATTATCTTATTAAAGCGTTTTTAAGATAGTGCTAAAATGGGGGTAGGTTATATATATAATAATGGGAATTAAACCTACATTATTACCAATAAAATATAACGCTTCTTATTACTTAAACTTATTATATATATAATTAAGGCTTATTTAATAATAGCAATAATAATAATGCTTACGCTTTTTAAAAAAAGATAGCTTATACTTATTTAAATTAAAACTTAAAGTATAATTATAATAATAAAACCCGTTTAAACCTAACTAAGCATTTTAATAAAAGCGTGTAAAAAGGCTAAGGCGGCTTAAGCTAAATATAAGGTGCAAAAAATAAAAGATTAAATAAGTAATAATTTAAATAGCCTTAAACATTATAATAAACTCTTAGTAATAATAATTCTTAAAATAATTAAGGCGCTTTTATTTTTATTATTAATATAAGCTAAATTTATATAAAGGGTAAACTTTACTTTAAGATTTATTATAATGCATTTAACCTTTTATATATTACTTTAAAATATATTAAAAGCATTAACTATGCCTTAAATAACTTATTAAAGCTAACTGCTTATTATAAGCGCATTAAGATTGCAATATATAATAATATTATTATAAATAAAGATTAAAAGCTTTATTATATTAAGTATACCTTAGGAAATGCAAGGAATTAAGATAGCATAATTATTATTAATAAAGTTAATAATAAGGGCTAATTTATATGCATAAGTAGTTAAGGCAAGGGCAAGCATAATTAGCAAGGGCTTTTACTAAGCTAAAATAAGTAAATAATTAAATACATATATAATGGCATTAAAGAGAGTTATAAATTTAATAGCATTGCCTTTAATTATATTAAGTTTATCTTTATATTAAGATATATATAAAATGTGCTTATAATTAGTATAATGTATATTTAAAAGAGTATAAAAGGCATTATATAATATAGCTAATTTAATAAACTCTTACTTATATTAATAATAAAAGTTATAATAATAGTAATAATTAATATATAAATCTTTATAAGCATTATAAATATATTTAAAAAGGATATTAATATTAGCTAGGATTTAAATATAGCCCTTATATAAAAACTTTTTAATAATAAAAAGCTATTAATTATTATTATTATTATTATTACTTAGGATAAGGTAATTGCTAATAATGCAATAGCTCTTTAAGCCTTAGTTATTATTATTAAGAGGATAAGGCAAGTTCCCTTTAGCATTAATAATAATAATACTTTAGCTATTATAATTTTTACTAAATTTATTAATAAATATTATTTTGCTAATATTAAGATTATAGCAAAGTTAATATATTTATATTATAAGTATAAATTAGGTATAAGCTAAGCGTAATAAAAATATTATTAAATGCAAATTAAGTATATTGTAAGGCAGGTAAGTTAATATAATAAAGGATTATATAGGTATTGCTATTAATAATATAAGGGGGGCATTATTAATTAAAGGGTTGGGTTTATAATATGGGTAATAAAAGATTATAAGGATGTTGCTAATTAATAGAAATGTTTTTGCTAAGGTTATTAAGGCTATGCATTAAGCATAGGTTAGGAGGAAAATAAGGCAATAATAAAAGTAATTTATTTAATTAATAGTAATAGTTAAGATAAGGTAAGGCAATATAAGTATATAGTAGTAATAGGTAATTAATGTTATGGCTGCATAATAAAGTTATTAAAAGAAGGTTGTAATGTTTTATAATTGCGATATAAGAAAAACTTAGGCATAAAATGATTGCATTATAATATAAACTAAGATTAAAGAATTAATGGCTTATAATTATTATAATAAGTAAATAATAATAGGTTAGGTATATAGTTAATATGCATTGCATTTAATGCATAGTATAATATAATGCTAACTTAATGCATTATAATGCCATAAAGTGCATAAATATTAATAAGGTAAGGTAGGGATATGCAGCTTATACCTTTTTAATTAAGTATAAATGGGCCTTGATATGATTAATATATATGGTTTATATATAACCGCGATATATTAATAAAGGATTGCATATATAGTAAATGCGCAATTAGCATAAGATTACAAGAGCTTTAAATTTAATTCCTATTACGCGCAATATAAAAGCGGGAAGGGGGCTATGTAATGAGCTTGGGTTATTGCCTAAGCCGTAATATATGCTTATGCTAGGTTTATATTGCACTCAACTCTTTTATATAATAAAGTATATACTTAAAAGATAGATTTAAAGTTGGGCCCTTTTAGGGCTTAACTTACTTTTTAAATATTGCAATTTATAACTCCTTTTAAGTACCTTCCAGCAAATGCTCAAGGCCAACCCATAATAAAAAATAATTATAAAAATAAGGGTATTAATATTTCCCAATATTTTAAGATATTTTAAGCAATGCCGGGCTTATAACTTAATAAAGCAATAAAGCAAATAATAGTTAATTATTATGTTTTAAGGAGAGAAATCTCCCTGCTATTAAACGCTTAGAAGGAGCTTATTTATAGGCTAGCGCTAGCGTATAGGCATACGACCCTCGCACCTTCCAACAGGACTAGCATACGAATAACCTTGAATTTGCAATGGTGGCGAATGCAGTAGCACATCCAATATCATTTAAGGATGTATCATAATAGCAAACTTTAACAAGCCATTTGTTCTCTGCCCATATCACATTGAAATGGTCCAGGACATAACTGCCTCGAGACTTCGCTGAGGTCATTACACAAGGCATGTCTGTCAACATGGATGCAGTGAGGACCATCGAGCAATAAGGTCTAGATTATTCATATAAGCAATGTGAAGCCATTCTTTGGCATGTCGGATGATTCCGAGCCAGATTCTCGGATTTTCCGTGGTGCAACGCACCAGCCCAGTTTGGCAGGGTCAGATGCTGCGTTCTCCAACAGCGTCGGTGCAACAAGGAACCGGGGAACCGGGAAGAGACTATCCACGGAGGGTGCGGGATGTATGTCCTGGAGGAAGGGAGCACAGCGTTGATTCGATGGGTGGGGATCAGCGGCGGGTTCTTTTGGTCTCTTGTCTTGCGCACATATCAGTTCCACTGACCGAGTGCAGAATATCCCGAACTCTATCACCTACACCACAACCGCAGACAACACCCCGGTGGTCAGTACAGAACGATATGTCAAAAACAGCTGGGGAGACGTCTCACTTGGAGACAACCATATCGCAACAGCCTCATGGAGTTCACGTCCCGGAAGATGAACCAATCGGTGGTTACCGTGTGGGCTGGCGGACTCTGATGGCCATTGTGGCCTTGTCAATGGCGAATGCGTGTGCTGCAATCGCTAATACGGTCTGTTCAGTCGCAGCCATACCCAGCGTTACATTATACATCATTTATGCGAGTTCCAGTACTTGCTAACAGGCCTTGGTAATCAGACTAATACCATCATCCACTTCCAAGTCATGAGCCTCGGCGACCCCAAGAATGCCTCCTGGATAGCCAATGCCAACTTCTTGATGACCTTGGCGTTTGGACCTGTCCTTGGGTCTCTGGGAGACCGATTTGGCAAAAGGTGGTTCATCATCGTCGCCACCATATTCGGTGTCGTAGGATCATGCATTTCGGGATCAGCACAGAAGACCACCGTTGTCATTGGTGGCAATATCCTCACAGGGCTTGCCAATGCTGGATGTGTACGCAAATCGTCCTCGACCGACCTATTCGTGTCCCGTTCTCCAGAGCTAACAATCGTACGATCCTCTAGATCATGGGCACACCTTCCGCCCAGGAAGTTACACCAGACAGATTACGGCCCTGGACCATGGGCTTTGGGCAGTTCCTGGCCAGCGTGGCTGTGATCGGGGGCACCGTTGGCGACGGAGCTTTCGTCAAATTCCACAGCTGGCGATGGTCATACTATCTCAACGCGATCTTCTATGGGACCACATCTGTGCTGGTTACTCTCTTTTACCACCCGCCCCCTCCTGGTTTACGTCGCCAGGGGGCCCGACTTGAAGAACTAGTCTCGAAAGTCGATTACGTTGGCATTCTCATCTTCACTGGCTCTCTTGCGTCGATCATAATCGGCTTCACCTGGGGCGGGACGACCTATGCTTGGGATTCACCCCAGGTCCTCGCCACACTGATCGCTGGTTGTGCCGGCCTTGGCTTGTTTGGTATCTATGAATGGTTGGTCGTCACCGAGGGTATCTTGGACCACCGGCTCTTCCAGTCGCGCAACTTCCCCTTCTTGAGCTTCGTCTGCGTTATCGACGGCATGCTTCTCCTTGGCGTAAACCTCTTGTTCGCCCAAGAGATCCCGACGCTGTTCACTGCTGATCCGGTCCACATCAGTGTGGTACTGACCCCTTACCTGGCGACCTCGGCTTTTGGCTGCATTCCTGCTGGAGCCATGATGGCCCGTACCAAATCATACAGGGTCATGCTCATAGGAGCTCTGCTGTGGTGTGCCTTGTTCACTGGTGAGTCTCTGCGAGTTGCATGGAAGAAGCACAACTACTGACGCAAAGTCGTCTAGGTCTCATGGGCATGCTGAATCAATCACGCCTGACCTGGGCTTACGCATTCTCAGCAATGTTTGGAATTGGTACGGCAGTCACGACAGTAATACCCATCGTGGCACGCGCGCCTTCTGTGCCCTCTTTCCTCCTTGGTACAGCAGGAACTTTTAGCGTTTCATGTCGTGCGCTGGGAGGAATCATCGGGATTACCATCTTCACGGCCATCTACAACAACAGGATAGCTGCCCGTTTGCCAGCCAACGTGGGCGCTGCCCTAGGCCGCGCTGGCCAAATCGACCTCTTGCCCGACACATTGAATGCTTTGCAAATGGGAGATCCCAGCGCGTTGGAAAACGTACCATGGCTATCAGAGTCGCTCATATCCAGCATACTCGGCGTTCAGACAGATGCAAACGTATACAGTTGAAAGTATGTGTAGATCGCTATCGCTGCCATAGTCGCTGCCAACGCGGTGGCTGCTTGCTTTCTTGAGAGTGTGGCGAGGAAGATAAAAAATCATGTCGAGTCAGCTCTAGAGGAGTCTGAGGCTAGAGAAAAGCAGAAGGCAGCAGTCCTCTAACCAACCTCCCATGTAGATTTTTAGCTTGAGACGGACAGACTTTCTGTAGTGAGACGTCGACTTCGATTTCCATGCAGTAATGAAGTTGAGTAAGGATTGGAACATTGGTGTCTAACTGCTTGGGATTTACCTTGAATTAAATCGCAAGTGCAATGTAACTTCAACGTCTTGAGCAATATCTGAATCAATCCATTATGCCTTTTTGCCCACTGCCTGCGCTTGCTCCTCCACATCCCTCGTACAGTCGACAAAGTTGCCCCTCAGCGAAACACCCCTGCCCGAGCACAGCCATACACATGTCCACGCCGGCAGCTCACCTTCGAAATGAGGTCGCCGCTTGCCGATCTCCGCCATATGTTCGATCACGTAGGGTGCTTCCAACTTTGTCTTCTCGGGGAACGCCGTCTGGTGCAGGTCCGTTTCTATCTCGCCGGGATGTATGCTAAATACAGATATCCCGTTGTTGCGGTTATCCATCCCAGAAAGTTGGTCCAGTTCAACTTGAAGAGTCCCGGCAAACTTCGTGATCCCTGTCTTGGCACAGTTATATGCTGTCGTCCACGGCAAGTTAAGCTCTGGTGCTGCGGCTCGACTACTCGTGTAGATGATAGTGCCTGAGTTCCGCTCTCTCATTTCTGGCAAGGCCAGCCTTGTGAGCTCCACTGGTGCGCGCAAGTTGAGCTCCAAGATATCCCACCATTCGACTGGGTCTGTGAGATGGAAAGGCTGGAAGGTATTCGACCCGGCGTTGCAGATTAGAATATCGATAGGACCTAGCTGCGACCGGAATTCGCGAAGTAGACGTTGTTGGTCATTGCGGTCGAGTATGTCTGCGGTGATGCCTACGACCTTTCCACTGGCTCCCGACTGTCGATTGCCACCGATCGACTGTATGTCTGCGACAGTGGCCTCGACCTGGTTTGCAGTGCGGCCTGTCACGCACACGTTGGCCCCGGCACGTGCCAATGCAATGGCGATGTGGCGACCGATTCCCCGACCAGAACCAGTGATCAGTGCATTCTGGCCCTGAAGCGACCCGTTGAGGCTCTCGGGGTCAATGGCCGCGTAGATTCCAGTCCTCAGTGTGTAGGGTGAAGGCGGTGGCGCCATATTGGTGTGTTAAATATCCCAAGTGTTCAACCGAGAGGTGCCGGAAAGTACACGTCAGAAGAGAGTGTTGAAACCTTTTTTCCTTGATTCTAGACTCGGTAAAGGGCATGAGGGCTGATCGTCCGAGCGCTATGGCATCGAGGTGTCGTTCCGTGGCGTGTTCGGAGTATCCGCGTGCGGGGATGATACACTGACCGGAATATCCGTCGAAAACACGCTATTTCGGCTTCAGCGGCTTCGTCACCTCAAACTTGAGACCATCTCATGCAAGGTGACTTGGTTTTCGCGTTAGCATCATATTTCTGTGTTCTAAAGTTCTCCCACTGCCCTACGTCCCCTTCACAGAAGCTAAGCATCAGTGATGGCGTTTGAGATCTACATTCCCGAGAATTTGAAATTCTCCGACTATATCGCGGTACTACAAACAACGAGGACATGGGCAGACGTATGATAGAAAGGTAGACTAGAAGCGCCCCCCTCCCCTAAACAGACACTTTAACTAACACGAATAACAAGATATCGAAAGGCTCTCAGCCGCACTGGCCAGCTCTGTCATTGTCGACTATTCTCTCATCGTCCCAAGCTGGGGAGAGAAAAGATACTCAGGTCCTGAATTTGCCAAAGAATGGCTGTCAGCCAAGCACCTTGGGCTTAAGCCTTTGGCGACACAGCACTTGCTTGGGCTGCCTTATTTCAAGCTCGTGGCAGACGAGGAGATAGTGGTAGAATGGCAGCAACTGGTCTCTCATGGCCGGCGCGAGAGTGGAGTGACCCATGCAGTTCAAGAAGGAGTCGCGGAGACAAGCGATCGTCGCAGCTATGTCGAGCATCGCTTCATCAAGGTCGATGGTAAATGGAAGATCGCGAGGATCACCCCAAAGTTGATTTACAACACGGGTAACTTCATGCGGATACGTCGGCCAGAGGGAGATTCGTAAACGTCAAAGCGTAACAGCCAATCTGCAACACATCGTGGAGATTTAATATCCCACGATTGGATATCATGCGAACGCTTCAAGTTGAGCTGAGGATGCAAATTTACGTGGGCGTGCGGAGAGGCTCCTTGCTCGGGTCTTCTGATACTCGCCAGCAGCCAGTATCCGCCACAAGGTTGGCCTGGTATGCGGTGGCCGAGGGAACTCTGCTGGCAATCCAGGCTGTTCAGCCTCATTTCTATTCTGAGCCATAGACTGAATGGAAGCGTCAACACTCAAGTCAAAGGCTTAACAAATCATCACGTATCTAATTTTGAACACATGTGGTGGAACCGTCTCCTTCGGCTCAATTCGACGCCATTCGGGCAATTCGTGCTTCGAACCATGCAACTCGTTTATCCTGAGCCCGTCACACACGCGGATTACCCACTCAGAAACGATAGAAGCTGCTCAAAGACAGCTGAGCATGCAGCTCATGTTGGGCTGAACTCGACCAACGAATTGAATATTGCTACGCCTGACCACGAGAACGTCTCAATTTACCTCGGCCCAATTATGGCAGGTGCCACACCAGCACTCACTTGCAAGACCGACCGGGTCTGCGAGTTTGCTGATCCTGCAACTTGCAGGGCTTTCCGAACTACCATCGCCGGTGAGCGCAGGCCGTGCAAGCATACATCAATGGAGAAGAACTATTTGTGTCTTTGTGTGCTGAGTAAGCCCAGCACATGGCGAGTTGCTGAGCGGTGGCGGTTGACTTTCTGGGGTGGGGAGCCCTAGGTATACACGAAATTCACCAGAGAGTTCTTGTCGATTTCTGACATTGAAAGCCATCGAATTGATTGAACAGCTTGGAAATCACTCTATCTACAATTCATCGTCATCATGTACTGACAGGATGATAGAAATCCCAAGGAACATATTTAAGCACACATCCGAAATACCAACGGCAAAATCTAATAAGCTTGCTGGCCAACCCTCTTTTCTCAATTTCTCCTAGCCTAAAAAGTGCTTGGCAGCTGCGAGCCTTGGCAGCTGCGAGCACAGGTGCTGCACATTACTTGTGTTCGGTTCATGCGGTGGAAAACCGACTATGCACGAATCCCTTGCCGAGTCTAGCAGGCTGCGAGAATAGCACCTCAGAGATCGGTTATTTTCGATGGACTGAAAGTGCAATATATGATGTCACAGGAGCTGAAACGTTGTGTCCGGCCACCCTCAATCTTCTAGCCAGGCCACAAAGCATTGGCTGCGTCAAGACACATTTGAACATGATGTTGAGTAATGCTACTTGACGCCAACGCTGCCGGGTTTGTGGAACACACCAGACGCGTGTATTCCTAGAATAGGCTTGAGGCGTGGCAATGGCCCCCAGGAGCTGGACCTGGCCACCTCAATTCTGTCACATCACGACTTCCGAGGGTGTCTAATTTAGCCTATCGGAGGGAAAGTAATCATCGTAAACTTGGAAGAGCGGTATCACAGCAGCAGAGCCCGATCAACACATTGACCGTTCTCCAAGGATTCCTCCAAAGCGAAAGTTCCAAGTACGGGGACGAAATGGCATATAGATTACAGACTGTTCCCTGGCTTGATCTTCGCGGCTCTTGAGCTCTGCACCCCCAACAGACCGCTGCCGATACCTGTCTATTGATGAATGTTCTACTCCGCTACTTCAGACCATTCGTTCTTTCTCAATAGTCTATAGAAAAGTCTCCACGGCCGCAGACGAAATTCGCCATGCCCATGGTCCCATCTTGGTCGCCTCCCAATGACTCGGAATTCAATATCAACAACTGCACGGCAGCAGGTGCATTCATTGCAAATTACTACGTTGCCCCGAACATTTCAGATATGCGTGTTGATGTCGTGTTGCCATTCCTTCGTTCACTAGATCCGTCGGACTGGTCGGGCCCCGAGCCTCAGAATTGGACACTTCTGCAGTGGTGGGAGTCGCAAGAACACTCGGATGCCCTTCAATTTATTCGCCATGTCAGACGTCTGTTCTCATCCCGATGCCATCGAGCAGACTACTGCAAGTTTCTTCCGCTCGAAGGCGATCCAGACTTAGCAGGCATTGGCGTAAGTTTAACACACGTTCCTCCGGGGGCACGGCACCTGGAGCAACACTCCCCGTCATGAACTACAACACTAATCTTTGGAAATCAGATGATGATCTCTTACTACCTTGTCGCTGCTCTGGCTACCGCATATGTCATCATCATCAGTCTGAACTCCATCAAGGCCCTCGAAGAATCCACGCCTTGGGGAAAGCCCCACAAGTTATTCGAGCAAACGATGAACTTATTTCTCGACGCCTCGCTGCTATTCTCTATCTCCATACTGTTAGCCGCCATATGTCGCTTCATTTCAGCTTCTGAACACCCTGACCGCAAGGACAACACGTTCTTCTACTCTCTGGTCAACGCGACCACTATACCCATATTCTCAGTGTTTCCCCCACTGATGCTACACTTCCCAGCACGAAAGGAAAGACGCAACGGTCTACGCGCAATAATGTGGTTCTTTGTCATCGGTTTTGCCACCACACTTACCGTGTTGTCCAAAACGTATTGGGGGGACGATGCTCATGCGATTGATGAGTACGAAAATAATCCCGACGAGGTTTGATGGTTGACCTTCTGTGACTTGAACAATGAAAGTATGATCTACGCAGTTGCCTACTCCAGGTTCATTGCCCTGGTTGTGCTCGGTCTCAACCTACCCCGGTGGATTTGCCTCTTATTTGCCATCAGTAAAGAACGAAAGAACTCGAAGCGCTCTGATGCACCACAAGGCCGTGTCGACAGCTGTCAATTTCGAATCCGGTCAAGAATGGGAAAGTTCTACGGAGAGTACGGAAAGTACGTGCGAGCGCTGAACATCATTCTCTGCTGCGCGACTATGTGGCTGCTTCTGGGCATATTCACTATCGTCGCCGTACACAACAATAAAGCAATGGTCCAGGAGAGCAAGGAGCGACAATTGAGTGTCAGACAGGTACTTTCCGTGGCTACATTTGTGCCGTTGATTATTGACATAGTAGCCATCGCTATGGGTAAGTTGACTGTCCTTTGAAATATCTGCCTCGAATACTTCTTAAAGGCCACTGCTGCTGGACCTATCACTAATTCTTGTTGAACAGAAAGCGGAGAAGGAAAGGGATTAGAGGGGAAGCTTCCGAGGAACATGGCCGTTCAGGTTGAAAAGTCGTCTCCAGCACAAGCAACGAGCTCAAAATTTTCAAGATACTTCAAAGTTCACCACGCAGGAATCTCGTCTGAATATGAGATGCTTGCAGATGGGGGAAGGATGCAGATGGTTTGAAGACTGACGACAGCCTGGGAAGGCAATTTCATACCACCTGTGGATAGGTAAAAGATCATACCAGGGGAGGTTATCCCACAAGAGGCATCCCATACTAGGAGGTTATCTTCAGGGAGATCATTCAAGGAAAATTGGTTTCAGGCAACTTTTTCTGTAGCAGGCTATGGTTGAAGCAGAGCAAACGAGTCTGCTCCGGCGGAGACAGTAATTACTTCTTTAAGCAACGAGCACTCTGAATTGGTCTACTGGCAACAGGGCAAGTAGACTGAAGCTTGAAAAATTTTCAACCAAGTCTTCCACGATCCTATGCTGCGCTGCGTGTAGGTATTTTCGGATTGATCCTAAGAGACACGCTGCAACAGCTTCCCTCTAATACCACTTGTCTTGATGGGCTGAATGGTATGAACTCAATGACATGCGTTCATCTCTCAGTCGTCAAGCTGCATTCGACAAAGCCGTTATGGCGAATGAAAATTCCAAGCATCTACCTAGATATGCTTCCGCTGGTGCAATGATAAATCCTGTCCACCGAGCATGATTACGCACTTGGCTCGCTGTGAGACTGCGAGAACGGGGCCGGGATTCCAAAGTTCGGGCCGCCATTGCTGTTCGCACTCAGAGGCTGCACCATCGTGTACCTCGAATTATCACACGCGCCAGCCGAGTTGCTGGTCGCATGGTACACCAGCCACGTCTGCTTCGCGTCCGGGCTCTGGAAGAACCCATTACTCGCAGGGCCGTAGTTCCCATTGGCACTGGAGAACACGCATCCGTTGTTCTTGCTCCACGCGGAGGCGAGGTACGGCGCCGTCGAGCCGTCCCACGTGAGCAGGCCGATGCAGTAGTTGGCCGTCCAGCAGTACGACGCGGCGTAGGCGATGTGGGTCTTGCCGTTGAAGTAGAGCGCGGCGGGGGCCTCGTTGACGGGGGTGCCGTTCTTCTCGAAGGCGAGGGTCGGCTGGGAGATGACGTAGATGGACCCCGTGAGCGAGTCGAAGCTGTCCGAGAGCTTCTGGACGCAGATGGACTGGTAGGTGACGCCGTGGAAGCACGAGAACATGAGCCAGTTGCCGTAGTCGTTGAAGCGGAGGACCGAGCCGTCGATGGACCACTCGTTCGTCAGCTGGCCGGCGTAGCTGTAGGTGTCCCATGGTGTGGCACCGCCTGTACGAAAATTAGTTTCCGCTGTTAATGGATACAAAGAAAACATGTATGCGTGTAATTATGCAGGCATACCCTTGAGGACGTGAAGCCTCTGTCCGTCGAGGTTCGCACTGGTACCTGCGGTGTAGTAGATGTACCAAGCTCCACCTAGGTAGTGGACTTCAGGAGCCCACACATTGCAGCAACGCGATGACGTGGACGTCGAGTATACGACCTTCTTGGTCGCCGACTTCAGACCTTCAATGCTTGTCGCCCTGGAGATCTGGACATCGTTCCAACTGGTCGTGAGCAGATAATAGTAACCCCCGGTATAGACTAGGAAGGGGTCGGAGCCGCCCGGATTGCGGATTGGGTTGGTATAAGCATCAGAGAAGTTGAACAGGCAGAGGAAGAGGCTCAATAGAGCCGTGAATTTTTGGAGGAAATACATGACGGGTTCAGTCTCTTGACGATCGAGTTTGATAGCCTAGATAATACTACCACTAACGCATGTATGAGCTCGCATCACGCTGTCTATGTGTTATTTATGCACCCGAAGACGGAAATTGTCAATACTGCCAAGACGGCAATGGAGGAAGTCAAGTCCAGCGGAGGGCTGAGGACCTCATGAAAGAATGGAAGCTTATTCGAGCGCATGGAAGACGATTCATTCGCGTGGGTGCCACGAGTTCGTGGGGACCCCACAGCTGCTCGTTAGTGCGTCCAAGACACCAAGCTTCCGGGGTGTAATATGGGGTGAGACCAAGCATTTAAGACGTGATTTGTGGAAATGATCTGTCATGTCCAGAAGGGGAAATACGGGGCATCACTGGCCTTCGTCCGTGGTTGCAACCTAGTGATGACAACTTTTTTGCTTGACTCTGTCCAAAATAGCAGAGGAAAAGCCACAACGGACGATTATCCTGTATTTACGTGCGACTGTACAACAAGTACGAATGGGCAGTAGAGGCCGCCTGAAAGCCTCATCAATCAACCCCGTCGCTGCATGCCCAGTGTCTTGGGTCGCAGGGCCTCTTCTTGCGCCCTAATCAGCGTTCTGGATCTCGAACTTGACCAGCAGTGAGGACTTTGTCTCCCGTCCCTTCAAGTCCAGCAGGCGAATAAAGCTCCAGCCCTCTGTGGCGTAGAGAAGCCGAACAGTAGTAAGCGCAAGGATCGGGTTCACGGAGAACGAGTCGTCGCTCTTGATCAGAATCCTCAGGAAAGCCATCTCACTGTCCTCGTACTCCCATTCGAGCGTCTCGTCCCAGACAGGTTCCGTCGTCGGCGGGTTCTCCCCGCGGTGCAGGAAGCCCAGCTTGTGCTGCTTATACGAACCGGTCCTCTGCTTGTTCGATGCAGTGTCCTCCTTGGAATCGAGGGGGTGGATGAGCGAAGCAGTCACGTACGGCTTGATATCGTCCGCTTCCTTGCCATTTGGCAGTGGCAAATCCGTGGCTCCGGCAACGTGGACACGGAGACGCCTCTTCTGCCCAGTCGTGACGCTGCCGTCCCCGCCACTTCGGAGCGCTGCGGGCTTGAGCACGTACCCATCTGTGCCCGAGAACAGCGCCTCGTTGAGCTGCATGCTGATGCCGAAAGTCTGCCAGTTGAGTGCGCAAATCTGTGCACCGTTGCCCCAGAATGGCACCGGCTTGAGGTTCTTGGACGAGATGCGAGTACCTTTCGGGAAGACTCGCATCAGGTGGTGCGCGTTGTGCTTCGCGATGTTCTGGTTGAATTCGGGCATGAGTTTCAGCAGCCCAACCTCGGAGACATTGATGAGGTGGTGGTGAGGGCCGTTCGTCATCTGCGGCTGCTCGAACCATGAGTTGTCGACGGGCTTCACCGACTGGGCGTAGACGCCGAGCTCGGCAAGCTCGGGTATGATGACGCCTGCGCCGGTGGTCTTCTTCTTCTCCTTGTACTTCTTCCGTGCCTCTTTGCTCTCGTCGTCGGATGACTCGTCGCTGGTGCTGGAATCCGAGTCTTTCTCCCCTTGCAGATGGAACTCGACGATGACGACAATCTTGGAGCCAAGCTCCTCAAGAGTGACGTGGTCGCCGCCCTCTTGCTCCTGGTGGCCTTTCTCCCGGATGGCCTTGCTCAGCAGGCGATGTCCCCAGACCTCTTTCATGATGTCGACCAGCCGCTTCTGGCCGTGGGCATCGCAGTGATTCTCGAGGGAAACCATGATCGGAGCTGCCCGGTATCCCTGTTCGTTGACGGCCTCTGCGGCTTCCTGGTCGACCACATCGCGGATGGTCTCACAGACCTGGCGGAAGGGGATATGCGACACTAAAGTGTAGCCGTGGGTGACCTTTGGCTCGTCCTTGTCTTCCTCGCCGTCCCAAGCATCGATCTCGACGCACCTAGCACCTGCTTTCAGGGCGGTCTCGTAGGCCGACGCCGACGAGGTGCCAAAGAGTTGATGCGCCAAGAGATATGTGTTGTGGCTTGAGCTGATAAAGTACTCGGGCAGCGGGTACGACCTGTCAGTGACATGCTGTGGAACGCTGATATGCGGCTTCTTGACCAGTGCGTGCAGAGCCGCACTCTGTACCTCGTCCGTGTCACCGTGGAGGTCGCGCTTGGTGAGCACGCCCTGGTCGACCAAGAAGGCTTTCAGGGCATTGCTGACGCGCAGCTGGTTCTGAGTCACGTCGGTCTGCCGAGCACTATGACCACCACCAGCAATTGTGGTGTTGTCGACCTCCTCGCCGTTTTCGTCATCCTCTGGAGAGGTGCCCTTCCTGGCGAAGGGGTTCAGGTTGGCCAGGGTCGAGGTCAGGCCTTCAGCCATGATTGAGGATCGCTGGTCGGGGTGAGCGTCAGGAACAGAATTGAGACAGCGATTGAGATTGACAGCTGGGTCCTCTTGGTGGTGAGATGAGAAGTGAAGGCAACCCAGGCTGCGTAGGCTACGAATGAGCGGAATCGGCCCGTCTTTTGGACCAGCGAGAACCAGCGACGTTGAACCCGGGTAAGGGTCTGCCGTCCCGTCTTACTAGCTGAGACGCTCAGGTACGCAGGAAGAGTTGCAAGTGGTGTAGTGGGGAGAGAGGGGTCGAGCACAGCCGAGCCCCTAGGTGGGCCACCAGCCAATTGTGAGCATGGGACAGGGGAGGAAGCATGGGGCGTTGGGATTACCTCATCCTCACCGCTACCACTGATTGACACACACCAGCGCACTCACAGCCCACAGCCCGTCTCCAGCTTTGCGCTGTGGCCAAACTGGCAGCTTCCCACGGTATCCACCATAGCAAACAAAGTGGTTGGCCTCTCTGCCACTGTTGCTAAGAGCATCTGCTTGATACTCTGGTGGCATAGCAGTGCTGAGTGTGCGACTGCTCTCTGGCGGAGACTCGGGGTTCTCTCTATCTCACTCACTCCCTTTTCCAGCCTCAGCGGTATCGAAAGAAGCAGATGTCTTGATACTGTATAATTGCTCGGGCCTTTGTGCCCCAGAAATAGTGTCACCACGTTGTCAATGTGCGAGCTGCGACCCCTGACATTTGATCACCAGTTCAAACGTCTGTCCTTGGAACTGCCACATGGCTGACGTGAAAGGGGACAAGCCACCAGACACAGCGCCGAAAAGATATACGTCACACCCAAAGGAAGTGCAACGAGCCTCTCATATACCATGATGCCCTCATGACCTCTCTGCAGTCAAAATGGGTCGGATTGCTCCAGGAGGACGAGTTGAAGGGATCTGAGGAGGTGAAGATGATGTTGTCCATCTTGAAGTCCTGGTAGGAGGCTATGAAGACCCATGTGGTGATCAGGTAGAAAGTACCGTTGTGGTAGCGGAGGGTAGGGGCGAAGATTCCATCTTGGCCTGTGGGTGTGGAGGCAAACTCAGGCAGTTGAGAAGGGCGGTTTAGGACGTTGCTGGCTAACTTCCACTTTGCGAGGGCTTTGCTGGCGTGGATAGGAATCCCCGGGAAAACAATTAAGCTGGAAGTCGCACAGAAGAAAGTTTGGTCTAATTCTTCCACATAGATGCAACTCGGATCTGGATGAAACCCAGGAAGAACAGGGTTGAGATCACGAGTTGCTCAAGCGCCTTGGCTGGCAGCGGCCAGCAGGAACGACACCAATGCAGTCACCTTCATCATCAATATTGAGAGGACATGGGAACTTATTTACAGTTTGTTGTTTATTCCTGCGTTTCGTTTCAACTCCTTCTTATACTTGTGCAAACCCCCTTTCCTTCTCCACCTCTCCATTCAAAGGCCAAGTCTCTTGCTGCTCGCCCTGGTTTTGCGTATTCGTTCCCATTTTCCGTATAGTAATAATACGGTACTGAAGCCGACCTCGGCATTTGTTCTCTTTTCGGCCAACGCTAGCCGTGCATTCAATAGATTAATCCCATCAATGATGAGTGAACTTCTTACTGTTGTGACAATAAGAGGTACTGTTAAACATATTGAGACCTGAACTGCCATACTGCTCGGCTCAGAGAGATCCCTATTGTTACCACTGGGCTTACAACTGCGGCGATAGTTCAGCTCCGGAAATATTGACCCACCTCGCCTTGCCCGCCACTAATTGGCGCTTGACATTACCAGGCAAGAACGTCTCAGTTGTGCCATGTTCAAAAGGCCAGGAAAGCTCAGTCACGACGTGGACAGTCAGAATGCATTCGTTTCCGGTTATTTGCTTACTTTGCGCTGGGCTGGGTCTTGTGGGGCATTTTCCCAGTATTTATATATTTTGCCCTGTTTCGTTACTGTGACTTGTCCCCGCCTGTCTGCCAAGCTATACCAGCATCATTCTATCAGATTAACGTGCCTGATGGGAAATACGGACTTGATCGGACCTGAAGACGACAGATTACAACAGGAGCAATGTGGAAGGATCATTCTGGTTCCGATCATTATCGCTTCGAGTCTGAAAAATGTTGTTACTTGCGGCACCAACTTGCGCGTCCTGTTACAAGTTCTCGGTTGGCGACGCTCCATACCTGAGCACTTGTAATAATAATAGCTACGTCTATATAAAGCTCCTCGAATTTCCCGTAGATTAAAAAAGCCTGGGCCTCGATACGCAACTCCTCCTGATGTCCTGCCACTTCAGTCACTTACGGCTGACTTCTTGTGTCCTGGATACTTTTGGAAAACATTAGGGAAACAGATCCACTATGGCTCAGGCCTGAGAACAAATACTACGCAAGTAAAAGCCAAAGAAAGAACTCTCATAGACTATGATTGAGGATATCATCTGCAACACATCTCACAAGGTAAAAGGAACCTCTGACTATAAGTTCACTAAAGCAATCTGGGCCAGCACACTTCAATTTATTTTGTTTTTCTTCTTGTGTCTCCTTTATCTTTTCGAGGTCTCTTGAAAAACTCTCACTTAAGATTCTCCTTCCCAATTGCAAGCTGTTTCAAGCGCGGGAACTTTGCCCGAACGGTCCTGGAGCTTGGGTCGTCCAGGTTGAGAAGCGCGAGTGTTTGGTGCCCAACTCTCAAGGGGCCGGTTGGCATTCGCCTTTTCTAGAAGGAACTTTGGGGCCGTCAGAAATGATCCGGCTTTCCGCCATTCTCAGCCATCTCTCCTTTCCCCCCAGATTTTCTGGCGTCCCCGCGTGCCGACAATCACGGTCTAGCCTTTCTTCACGACGAATCTCCTCGCATGTTTCAATTGATCCACTGCGTCATGGCGTCTGTTGTTGTGAGCTTTTCTAATTGCCGAGCTGTGAATGGCTGGCAAGTGTCTTTCCGCGCCCAACACGAGGGCTTTATTGGCCTTAGCCCCGGAAGTGAGACTAGCCGCGCGGAGATCGTCATTCCAGTCACCAGCGAGATGGGTCAAGTGACGGGTGGACCATACCGCGAAAGTGTTAGTCGTGATGTTTATTCCTTATCGTCAGGGGAATAATGACTTAGCGCCTTGTCTGAAAATGCTGAGAGCAGGCGGCAGTGCGAGATGTTAGCCATTCCACGATGTTTGCCTGGAATGACAGGGTGACCAGCGCGCCGACAGGCAGAGAAACAACGGAATCGAGTCCCGGATATCGTTAGTTCCGGTGGCGACTAAGGAAATAAATCCTTCCGACCCCAGGAAAGCGAATTGAGGGAGGATGTGCATTCAGTATCGTTGCATCTCAATGTGGGCTGGCATGATGGGCGATGAGCGGCTCGAGAGCAAAGGCTTGGGCAGCTCCACCAGGATGTGATGTCTCTGGGAATGTTGTACAACTGTACTTAAATAGTTCCTCGGCCACTGTGATATTTTGCGAGGCTTCTCGCTCAAAGTTTCGTTCTCAATACGGTTGCTGACCTCCAATTACATCTTACTCATCATCATTATGCAAGTCAAGAAGACCATCGTAGCCTTGTCGGCGGCCTCTGCGGTCTCTGCCCAGAGACCAGCAGACACGCCCATTTGCGACTATTATACGACAGCTCTACTCAAAGAGAACACGGCAGCAAATCAGTTGACTGTCTTGACGCTGCTCGTCAATACTGTCGTGATTGGCAACTGTCAGTAGCATAGCTTGGTCAAGCATGAGCTGAGACTAACTGACGCCTCCTCCCATAGACACCACCCCGAACGTTGGCATCGCCGTTCCTGGCATTCTTGCTCCCGGCAAGGTCGATGGCATGGACGTGAACCTTCTGCCATACTTCGACGGATCCCTCGCCTCCTCCAACCGCGGCGGATCGTCAGGCGTGGCCGTCAACAACTTGGACGGCGGCGGTGCCGAGCCCCTCAAGATGAACAAGCCCGCCAACTCCGAGACTTCGAACCAATACTTCCTTCTCACGCACCTGTACGCCTTCTTCGGCTCTCTGCTAGGCTGCACGACCTACGGAATGCCCGGCTTCCCCGCGTACGACGGTTTCCCGTCCCAGTACCAGGTGCACAAGTTCATGTCAGCATAAGTATTCTCCTCTAACGTTTCCCCGGCTGTTGTGTGTTTTGGCATGTTCCAGAACGCATCTCTTTACGCTCCATAGAGCATGTGATTAACGCACACCAGGGACCTGAACCACTACGAGGTGTCGTACTTCATCCAGCAGGTCGGCCTCGCTGCTTCGTCATTCGGCGTGGCGAAAGACGACATCACTACTGTTGCTGGCGCCCTTGACAAGTTGTTCAACTACAAATGCTCGCCGCCAGCGACTGCTATCAAGGCTCAAGGACCACAGCTGCAATCCATCTGCATCGAAGAGACAGTAAGTGCTTCCCTATGTTGCTGCCTTCCTCTCTTATGCTTCCTTCTTTTCTTTTCTTCGTACATGTTTACTTCGTGAGCGACCGATCTCTTCCACCAATACGGGTTGAGGCAGGAGTGGCTCTCTTTCAAACTTGTTCGACCCCTCCTTCTCTCATAGATGGCTTCGAAACTGACTCCGACTTCTGTAGTGCCCACTGGCGGAGGGAGCTGTCTGTGACCAGTATGAGCCTGCCGTTGAGCCTAAGAATGCAACAAGCACAGCCTCGCCTTCAGCGGGAGGCTCAAATGCGACCGCAACGGGTGGGTCTGGCGGTTCAAGCGCAACGGGCAGCTCCAGTGCAACGGGCGGCTCAGGTGCAACGGCTACCACCGGTGGCACTGGTTCACCGACTGGGGTCCAGGTCGCTGGAGCCAAGGTGGGTGCCACTGTGAGCAGTGTTCTGGCTGGAATCGTTGTCGCTGCCTTTGCATCGTTGATGCTCTAAGGTGGGGGACAGACATCTGGAGATAAAGGGGCACCAAAAGCCTTGCATGAGGACTGTGTGTCTAATTCTTCCTGTGTATTGAAATTGTCTGCTGGCTTTTGAGCTACAAGACGTTTAACCTTTTGGATTGTACAAATCGGAGACGAGGTAGTCGCCTGTTGCACAGCAATGAGGCTGAGATTAACTAGGATGAATCAATACCTACACGCGTTTCTTCCCATAGTGACTGATGTGATTCGCTCTGTGGACGTCTGACACATCTGCCAAAGAATTACAAATGTGAAAGCGCACAGGATCTCGTTTTCTTCAATAATCATTCGAAGCTAACGGCACATGCCATATTTTCCTTGGGAGATAATTGTGCTCGAAGTTTGCAAACCGTGGTGATAGCGTCAGTGCTGAAATTGTGCTCAAAAAACCTATCGATGATCTTTGCGCTAGGTTCAATAACAAACCATAATTCGTTGAGGAATCCATGCTGTTGCGTTGCAATTCTACAGATGAAAGCAGTAAATGACCCTGTAGTCTTGTTGTGTGGATATGGACATTTTGTGTGTGCGAATGCAAATGAAAAGCTGTGTCGCTGGGTTTTGGGTAGAATGTAATCTGCCTATATGTATACTCAAATTTCGCAGAAATCCAACGCAAATCGCTGGTCTGGTGGTCTAGTGGTATGATTCGCGCTTAGGGAACACCCTAATGCTCAAGCTGCGCGAGGGTACGTCATTTCTGGTCCACTTCCAAAACTACAGCACAACTAACTCTCACCCAGTCCCGGGTTCAATCCCCGGCCAGACCCTGAACTCAAAGTTCCTTTTGTTGCCTTTCACCACTTTTTGAAGCGGTGCGATTTCATGTGGTCTCAAATACCAGACTACATCTACTTGTTTTTTTTCTCCTTCTCTCTTTCGTTGAACTGTCACAGTAACTTTGTTATTTTCTTCAAAGTCCTTGATATCGCTTCACCTTTCGTGTTGTTTCGGTTGCTACTTTCTGCAACTGATGTGCCTCCCTGCCATTGTGTATGATCCCTTCAGTCATCAAGGAATTTGCGAGCTTCGTGCTATCACTGCGTGAGGTCGCTCTGCAAAACCGGGTCTCATTTTGTCGCTGTATCATGACATGGTCTGGCAAGGAGCAACTTGATCAAACTCTCAGGCTGCTCCTTGCCTCTGTTGCTCAGAAGTTTGGTTGCCACGCGCCCTCCATTGTGCTACCGCTGCAGTTCGCAACCACTCAGTGAAACCTGCTATGACGTGCGATTCAACGGTCCTTTGCGCTGAACATTTGGAACAAGGCTCCGGTGCAATCGTACAAGGTATATGAGACGTTTTCAGGACCACAAATGGTGCTTGGAGAATTGCCAATCCCAAATCCAAGATAGAAAATGGCGACAGTGATGCAACAACATGCCACACGCTGCGAAATCATGAGTGTGTTCACCACACTTAACTCGTGTTGCGTCCACATTCTGTGACAGTGCCGAACGCCCTCATTGCCTTCAGTGTGTAAGCTTGGCAGGGCGTGATGTCGACTATCCGCGATTTGGACTGTTTGCTGACATGTTACGCAACCTCAGTCACTGAACGTCAGAGCATCTCATTGATCTGGTACATGTTGTGTCCAAAACAAGTTCACCGGCCATGTCGTACTATGATGTGACATTACACTAGCCACGTTGTCAACACGAGGAAGCAAGTACTCAAGCACAGAAAACGCCACTGAAGATTCGATTACTCCATTAAGAAAGTCTGTATTTTGTCTCTGTCTATGAGTGCTTGCGATAGAGCGGCTAGGGTGTCAATTATTTCTCATCCACTGTCTAGAAGCCCAGGATGAGGGTATGGCAGTGCTGCTCTCATGGGGCTGTACACTTTCCGAAACATTAAGTAGCAGATATTTCCGGCTGCCGTGCGAATATACACCTTCCAAAACGTTAACTGACAGATATTGCCGCCTGCTGTGCGACTGTCTAAGAGTGAGCTAACAGCAAAAAGGATATACATTGCTGATCCGGTATCGCTCTAAGATCGGCCAGTAATGGCGGGTCGATGTCCCCGCCGGGGTTCAGGAGAATGTCGGGAGCTGTGAGAGGGGCCCGTTTGGTCGGGTCACACTCACCCGCGGTATCCAGCTATAAATCCAATCCAATGCGTCAGCAATTTGAAACCTTTGATGACCAAAGCCCAACGAAAACTGTGATTTTCGATTGTTATAATCCGCTATCGGTATTCATAGCTGCGCAAGACGTCCTTGTTACTTAAAGCCGCTGGCCAAGAAATCGAACAGCCGCCTCAATGACTGCAATAGCTCCCACTGAAATCTCGACGACGTCGAGTCCCTTCAGTGTGTCTGGCAAAACAGCCATCGTCACTGGTGCAGGATCTGGTGGGCAGCGACCCCTTCCTATTTACAAAACAATCCAATAAGAAGAGTTGTTCTTACTAACATCAGGCGATACTACCGTTCAGGAATCAATCTCTCTTTCGCGGCACTTCTGCTGTCTCGAAACTGCAACGTCGTCTTCGCCGACCTGTCCCTGCGGCCAGAAGCTGAGGCTCTAGTTGCCAAATACAGCGATGCAGCAAGCAGCCCCCGCGCCGTGTTCGTCAAAACTGACGTCACGTCTTGGCCTGCCCTGTCCAACATTTTCAGCGCCACGCTCTCGGAGTTCGGGGATGTCGACATCGTATGCCCTGGCGCTGGCGTCTACGAGCCGCACTGGTCCAACTTCTGGCACCCGCCAGGCTCTTCTGAGGCCAAAGACGCCATCGACGGAGAGCCTGGACACTACGCCCTTTTGGACATCAACCTGAACCACCCGATCCGCGTGACGCAGCTCGCGCTGTCCCACTGGCTGCACCCGCCGCCAGGGAGAGCTGCGGTCTCGCCGTCAAATCCGAAGAGGGTTGTGCATATTGGCTCTGTGGCTGGATATGTGCCAAACTTCAACGCTCCGCTCTATGGAGCGTCCAAATTCGGCATCACGGGTTTCGTCAGAAGTCTCGCCCCGCTGGACGACAAGCACGGAATACGAGTAAACGCCGTGGCTCCTGGGGTGGTCCGGACGCCATTGTGGCTAGAGCACCCGGAGAAAATGGTCAACCTCGAGACAGCCGATGGATGGGTTACCCCGGACGAGGTTGCTGTTGCGATGCTCCAGTGTGCGGAGGATAGTGATCTGGTCGGCGGCACTATCTTTGAGGTTGGGAAGGACAACGCTCGCTCCGTGCAGACTTTCAACGACCCGGGCCCGGACAGGGACCCAAAGAAGGGTCTGATTACGAGGAACTCGAAAAATGGCCATGACATGGTGTGGACATGGCTCCAGGATAAGTTTAATCTCTCTTTAATGTCAGTACCTTGGTAGTATGTAGTCATGGTCGCAGATTACCACAGTATCAATTCATTGCGTATTCAAATAGACTAGAATTTCCGGCAACTCAGAAGCTGACACATAACAGGTTGCTCCGGTTCATCAAGAACCTCTGGAATTCTTAGGGCAAACAGGGTGGCGTGCTGGTTGCAGGAATGGCTTCTGGACTTCCACAGTGTTGCATGTAGGGATGCCACAAGAACTTGACAAGGGAAGGGAAAAACAAAGCCCACTTTCTAAGAGATGCTGTGGCGTTCACGCCTAGGCATTTTGACCCAGTCTGACTGGCTGAGGATTTGATTTACGAAAACAGATCGGGGTATCAGTATGGGCCTGGGCATATCATCAATTAATACGGATCCAAAAAAAAAAAAAAATCTACCCTGCCTCCCATCCCCACTCCTCACACAATTCTTGGAGCAGCCACCTTCAACCAAACCTACCCTGGAGCCTCACCTCCTCTGGGAAAACCTCCTCTGGGAAAACCTCCTCTGGGATACTCTCCTCTGGGATCTTCAAATCGTTGTTTTTATTGAGAATCCTTCAGACTGGGCACATTCTGCAGTATCACTGTCGTATATCCCTCAGACATCACAGAATCAGGATTTACTCCGAACAGCTAAGTTCTAGACTATCGGTAGATAATGCCTAGCCACTAGTTTCCGAATGCTGGCGTCAAGGGTATGCTCGATGTGGTGTACGACTAGAGTAGTTATGCCACTCCTTCGAGATAGGCAATCCTTTCGTTAGTACAAACCTGAACACGGCACGGTGTGGGAGGGGTGAGGGGTCTAGTACTTTGAGACCAGTGAACATTCAAGACTCGAAGATCCTTACCGATTTATTCGGTGGGTTGAGACGGCTGCTAGGGGCACTATCACTACACCGAGATGATTCGTGTAGACCAGGTAGTACGTGGCCAGACTCGACGTGCATTCGGCTGTTGCCATCGGTTCCCCGTGCAGTGAAGTATCAATCTCCAGAGTAATACCCAATGATCGGCCATCAGGCTGCAAAACACCGCAGCTCAGCCCTGTCATAAGTGATAGAAGTAGGTAGTCCCCCGGGTACCCTTCCCGGGCTGCAGGCTCGCCCCCGTGCAGGTTAAAACAATGGCACCACCCGGAATGACCGGCTCTGTCGGATCGACAGAGCTCACTTACGCACGCAGCCTGCTCGTAGCCGCTGAGTGCGAGCAAACAGACAAGGGTGTGAAGTTCACTACACACCTGATGCATCTTCCATCACCCCGGCCCCACGTCCGCTGTCGACTCGGTCAGAGCTCGTGCCAGGATCTTGGAGGGGAACATTCGACCTGTAAATGCAGACTTGCCGTTGTAGGATTAAGCGAAATGACCAAGAGGGGAAGAGGCCGGCCCAGTTGCATGGCTTTCTCAGCATCGTGCTCTAGTGTTCAGCAGCCAGAGGCTTTGTCCAGAATGGGTGATTCGCTTGAGGATTTGCCGTTACACAGATTGCGTCGGCTGGAATGTTTGCAGCTCGTCCTGCAGTTTGTCCTGCAAATGGACCCCCACGAACTGCAGAGCCAACGAACCTGCTCCTTCTGGCCCTTGTTCATCACGTACATTTGCCTTAAGAGGCATATTCTCCGGCCCGATCGTTTAGTAGGAAATGTCGGCTGCAAGGGTTTTGATAGGCTTCCGGTCTCCCGGAACCTACGAGATGGATCACATGAAGCTGAAATGGGAATGTCTTGTCCATCCAACAGACAGCGTGAGTCGATCAACCGAATCCGTCCAGGTATGGCCTACACAATGTAAAAGTCTTTATCTAATGGCGTTGACACAGCTCTATTTCTTTCCATTTCTCCGTATCTCGTGAAATCCAGCCCAAGGTATTTGCTACGATAAGTGTCCTCCTTTACTAATCTCATCTGTTCATTTCTATACTAATCTACCATGGCTTTGGTACTTGCTTCGTTATGGTGAGTGTTTTTACCAATAGCTGGCTCTTTTCAGGCTTCCACCTTTCCCAACTAACCATTTCATAGGCTCTGGGGGCGATATGAATGTAGCGTTGAGACTGCCTACGAGAAAAGTTACAGACCTTTGCCTCTCCCGGAGAACCCTCAATTCAGCACCCAAGATGTTAGCATTGTGGTCGCCACGATAGACACCCCAGACACTCTTCCCAGGTCCTTGTGCCAGTGGCTTAGCAATGATCCACATGAGATCATAATCGTTACAATCCGGCGAGATCTTCAACTTGTCCAGTCCCTCGTATCACAAGCTCCATTGGCGGCTCGAATCACTCAGATTGTCACTTGCGACATCATAAATAAAAGGGAGCAACTTGCCATGGGCATCAGACTTGCGCGCAGCAAAATCATAGCACTTGTGGACGATGACGCATTTTGGCCCGCCACTACGGTGCTGCCGTATCTGCTGGCTGGACTGGAGGACCCCAAGGTAGGAGGGGTTCAGGGAAAGCAGAGGTATGTCAAATGAGGGTTTCGGTTTGTTTCAGTGTCACTGTCTGCAGTCATACAACATACTCTGGCTGACTGTGGTCCACTTAGTGCTTACGTTCCAGAGCATAGACGCAAGGGCAGTGAAATCACACCATGGGAGGTGGCAGCCATTCGCTGTCTGGAAGTTCAGAATCGAATTCAAGCCGTGCGATTTGCAGCAGATGAGGGCTGCTTCTCCCTCATAGGCCGTACCGTTCTCTTACGCTCGAGTATTTTGCAAGACGAGGAGTTTCTGCACGCGATGTGCAATGACTATTGGGCGGGAAACAAGCTCAGCACAGGAGACGATTGCTTCATTTCCCGCTGGATGATGGCTAGAGATTGGAAATTCTGCATCCAGAACGCGGCTGAGGCAGAGATCTTGACCTTGATACCGAGCGACAGCAAGATGTTGCTTCAGAATGTGCGGTGGAAAAGGAGCTCGTTGCAGTCTTGCTGGACGATCTTGTTCTATTCGCCTGGCTTCTGGCATTTTGTCCGGTAATTATGCTTTCAGACTAGTCTTCTTACTTTGGTCAAGCTTCCTATCATGCCCAGACCGAGACTGATCCGGTCTCACTTTGCAGAACCTACCCTTACACAGGTCGCAAGCTTGTCGAACGCCTGTTGACCCCTCCTATCACCTGGATCCACATTTGGGCCTGGTACGAAAGCTTCCGAGCATGTCCAATGATTGGCACTATCATATTGCTCTGGTACATACGCGGATGGGTCAAAGGCTACGGAGCCCTGGTACAGAAATACAGTTATTGTGGAACGAAAGTCTGGGGTGCATTTCTCTTTGACCATTGCTATCCCATTTTGGATATCTACGGCTGGTGTACCCTGAAGCATGAGGCCTGGCTGACACGGCGAGACTCAGATTGATTCGCGCCATCTTATGATTTACCAAGGAAAACTTGTTTTTCTTAAAGCCCAACGCTTGTTTGTTGGGTTCGTCTACAGATTCCGAGGTTCTATTTCAGAAGGAGCAGCTGATGTACTAATAATAATACGGATTTCTTGTCCGTCGTCCTATCACAAGGATACTCTTTCCCCTATCTGAATTTGCAAAATGCTGCAGCGTAACAATTTTCGCTATTGGGTCTGTTTGCCGTGAAGAGGTGGCGTTGGGATCCAACTGCCTTTGTTGTAGTTGAGACAGTGATCGGTATTTAGGTTTGTCTACGAGCGGCAGCGATACCACCGAATTAATTACCTAGATGATATTTGTTGCCGCTCCTCTCCTGTCCAATAACTACACTTGCCTCCATGTATCAGCGTCCCGGGACCATGGAGAGGTGCCGTAAGGCGCGAGTCATACTAGACCAAGGGATCGATACATCTGGTTTGATCAAGCTGTTTGTGGAGTCGGGCCGGTCTCGTGAGGTGAGGAGAAGCCCCTGAAAATGACATGGAAGCCCGGCATCACGATGTCGGTCATCCGCGGAAGGCCCACAAAAGATAACCACGCGCTGCGTCCATGCTACTTTGCAGGTTGAGAATCAATATACATGGATATACGTTGGGCTATCCCGCAAGTGCTGGTCAAGGCATGACTCGTCAGTAGAAATCTTGATTGCATATGTACTTTTAGCCCCGGATTTTCAGCGTTGACAATTTCTGCCAGGGCTTCACTCATACTATCCAGAAATCACCACGTGCCCTAGGCTTGTTCGTCTTTATACGGGCTCATCATGGTCGCGGACTCTACCAATGCGGCTACGCCCGATTATGTCGCGGCTCATATGGGAGAATCAAAGAGACATGTCGAAACGACAGTCTTGTATTTCAGTGGTGATCCCAAAGTCCAACTGGAACCGACGTTCATCGGAGGGTAAACACTCTTCCCTAGGATAACACCCATTCAGCCACTGATAGAAGAAACAGACCAAAACCGCCTAACTTGACTCCCAAGATCAGCTCGCCAGTCTCCATTACTGATGTCACAGGAGATGAGGGCAAATACTCTCTGGAGATACAGGGCTTCCAGTTCATCAAGCATAAGTCTCAGTTCGAAAAAGACCTTCCGGAGCTTAAAAGCCGCTACAAAGCATCGGAAGATCTGGACGAGGTCACGGCAGGTTACTATGCAGAGATGAAAGAAATATTGGCGAAAACACTGGAAAGCAACAAGAAGTAGTAAGTTCCCATTGTTGCGAACATACGCTCGGAAGAATGATGCTGAGACCAGCACAGCCCAAAGCCCTCCAGCATACACATATTGACCCACATCATCCGAGCCGGTCCAAAAGACGGAGAAGGTGACCGAGGCCCAATGGGCCCGCTCTACGGTGTCCATGTCGATCAGTCTACATGGGCTGCCGAAGGAGTTGCTGAACGATGGCTCGGGGACCAAGCGGCGGAGCTCCTCAAGAAGCCGCGCTTTCAGATCATCAACGTAAGCTCTCGAACTCGACGCGCCACGCGATACACAACCTCTACTGACACCAATGACCAGATGTGGCGACCTTGCAAGCCAATCACCCGAGACCCTTTCGCTGTCTCGGACGCGACGTCAATTCCGGACGAGCACATTATCAAGGTGCCACTGATCTTCCCCGACCACACGGCTGAGGCGCTGGAAGTTGTCCCTGCGCCAGATCCTCAGAAGCCTCACCGTTACTACTACAAGTTCAACCAGCACCCGGACGACCTGTTGTTCTTTATCCAGGTCGACTCTAGCAAGCAATCAGACGTGCCAAGACGCTGCCCACACGTTGCATTCAAGGACCCCAACTTGGACGAGTCCAAGGGCGAGCCAAGAATCAGCATCGAGACGAGAGCAATGGTTTTCTATGATCAAGACGAGGCATGATAGATAGGTTCTCTCATGGATGTCAAGCTAGCAGATGAAAATATCAGTTCATGCATGGGGAAAATTCTCAAATAACGGCGTGAACCTTGTGGAGTGCATCATTCCTACCATCTGCCGCATACAGCTAGTCCAAGGAGAGTTCAGCACAAGGTTGATATGAGTGGGTTCCAATGTCACCAGTAAGCACAGCAGATATCGCATTTATCATTTGCTGGTCCAGGTGGCGTTCATTACAAAACCCCGCCTTCGTTCACTCCATGTGTTCCTCGCAACTCAGCAACATCCTGTCCGAAGTCGTGCTTGTTATTGTCATTCTTAGACAACTACAGACGGATTAAATCTATATCACGACTACGTGAAGCCACACCAATCTTGGTGGAAGACTAAAAGCAAGAATTCAATCGCAATGTCTGTCGATAACGCTCAGTATGAGAAAGTAGTCGCGACATACGACAGTATACTTGGGACTGCCGTGCGCCGAAGCGACACGTTGAACATGCTACATTGCATCGGATCGGTTGAAGGCAAGAGTGTCCTCGATTTTTCAACAGGCACCGGCTATTTCGCGCGGACACTGTCTAAGATGGGAGCTAAGCATGTTGTTGGAGTCGATGTCAGTCAAGGCATGTTGGACGCAGCCCGCAACGTGACAGAAAGAGAGCCTCAGATTCCAGGAGGCGTTGCGAAATACGAATTGGGGGACGTTTTCAAGCCTCTGAAACTTCTCCACTGCCCTGAGGCAAGCCGCGACTTGATCACTGGTGCGTGGTGCCTGAACTACGCAGGGGACCAGACCATGATGGACCAGGCCTGGCGGAACATTGCCAGGTACCTCAAGCCGGGCGGGAGGTTCGTGGGCGTCATCCCGAACGATTACATGCCATGGCTCGGGGATGATGAGAGATATTTTGACTTCTCGTACAAGAGAATTGACCAGGTCAAGGACGGGCATGTCTGCAAGCTCACGTTGCACGCCAAGGAGCAGCCTGTCTCCTTCAATGCGTACATACTGGCCCATTCGGTTTTTGAAACGGGCGCGAAATCTGCTTGGCTGGTCGATGTCGCTTTGACGGACCCTACTTTACTGCCAGAATTTGAGGGCACTGAAGAAGAAGAATTACTGGAACAGCTTCTTGGCTCGTCCCCTGTACAAAGTCATGGCGGCGACAAAGCCTGGGCTGGAGTGAGCTGGCGATCGACTGATGGGCGCAGAGAAGCGCACAATATATAGCGCGGCGGTCCGTCAAAAGCCATGTCAAACATGCACTCATATTCAAAAATACTGACAAAATTTTGACATCAGACGTTGATTTCGTACATTAGCCATTATTGCAGTCTGTAGTTTTAACTGGCCAAAGGCTATCTAGCGCCGATAATGTGAATTATAATCAGGGTCCCCAGCCAAATCTCTCAGCCCATCTGGCCTACCTCCTCCAGCTGTCGTAATACCAGGGAAGCCTACCAGCTGCGGGCTCCGTTGGGGTCCAGCCCTGAAGAACCGCGAGGTCTCCTGCCCTGGTCCATACGACATGTCCGGGTCTGTTCTGCTGCCAAATGTGTCCTGTCGTCTCAGATCGTACATCAGTTCTCTCCCGGCCATATCAAACGTCTTTGGGCGAGTAGTCTCATACATGTTGTCGAGGTCCTGGAGCATGCGGTCATCGCTGATGCCCTGCAGCATGTCCTTTCTGTACCGTCGCCTGCGCTGCCACATGTAGACCGCCCAAATAGCCACGGCCATCGCGCCCAGCCCGCCGGCCACGGAGACGCCGATCATTGCAGGCACTGGGAAGCTAGCACCTTGGCTCCTGGAATCGTCTGCATCCTCAGCCCCAGCCGCTTGGGTCGTGTTGCTATCAGCGTCGCTCGGTGCGGCTGTCTCCGTCGGTAGGGGTACTGCGACGAGGCTTGCGGAACTGCTGGCCGTCTCGAGATTACCAGTCGGCGAGCTTTCCGCAGATATAGTCTGAGTTCCAGAAAGTTCTGGGGTTTCTGCGGCCGAAGAGATTGATGACCCCGTCTCTACAGGCTGTGACGACGTCGGCGAGGCCGTCGGAGGAGAAACCCGATCACTGCTCTGCCAGACGAGCTGAAACATTGGCGCAAGGAGCGTCACAGCTGTGGCAGTCTCCCTTGCGAGGATTCCGAGCCCGGCGTCGGCGTTGTTATCTGAACCACAGTTGGTTGTCGGTACTGCCAGCGACGTTGTGGTCTGCACGCAAGTCTGCCCCCCAAGATTGTCACAGGAAAATCCACTGATGAAAGTTAGCTTCCGATGATCATGCAGATATTCTCTTCCAAGACCTACCCAGGACAGCAGCCAACGGCAGTCTCGCTTGCAGACAGCGTGTATTGCAGTGGCCAGTCACTCTTTCCGAACAGGCCTCCTGTGGCAGAACATGCGCTGGTATGACCCGCGGGGCATGATATGCCGGGCGAGTAGAAGCCCCATCCGGGAGACTCCGTTCGAGGGCCGGAGACATCGCCACTAGTTGTAGGCCAGCATGCGGTGTCAATAGCACCAGTCTCTGACCCGCAAACTTGTGCTAGTTGGCCGAGCAAGACCTGCCCGCTGACCGCAGCTACAGCTGTCGTACACTCTGGCGGCTGCGTGAAGGTCGCGGTCAGAGGGCCCAGATTCGTGGGCTCCTGGCCGGTAACTGGCCTCAGCTCAGACGAGCCACCCAAAAGGCTCCCGATGGCGGGAAGGAGACCCCCGGACATTGTGTTGAAGTATAAGTGTGATACTGGGTACCAATAACATTTGTGGGAATGCACTGCATTCCATCTAGAGGAATTATGAACAAAGGCTGCTCAAAAAATGTCGAATGTCAAATTCGAGGACGTCGGTGTTGGTAATGGGAAAGGGAGGCGTGGGCAAGAGACGGGAGGCAATCACAAAAGGCCTCCCTCTCCCCCCAATCCTGTCTTTCTCTTCCTCCCTCGCCTATGCAACCTCAAAGGCGAGGGACAAAGCCCCTGATCTCGCCAATGCGCCGATCACAGCATTTGTTCTTGAGTGACGTCGTGGTTTGTTCCACCCGTCAATTGTCACCGTGGGCTGTTTCAAACCGAATCACAGAGTTCTTCTTTCGGCCGTTCGGTAAGCAACGATCGACGGGATTGACAGTGTCGATCGGCGACCAGCCGGCTGCTTCCTCAGCCTGATTGGCTCGCTCCGGGAAGGCATCTCAGCCCCTGAAAATCCCAGTGACATCGCCTTTTGGTTTTAAGTGTCGGACTCGATTTTGGGTTTCTTTGGTCAAACATTGTGCTGTTTCGAGCACATATCACTGCCGGTTGTGAGGGCGCAACGCCGTCGGACTCACACATCCGTGTCGGCGAAGGCTGACAACAGAATCACAGCTGACCATTGGATGACTCGTCCCCCAGTAGCTATCACCTGTTGTATAACTCCGGGGCGCACAGCCTTCTCAATTCGACGAAGATTGTGCCAAGTTTGTCAATTTCGAGGTAATTTCAAGGATGACCATACACTGCTGCTGCTTTTGAATTCACTTAGACACCGCCCGGGCATGTCGCATGCGCTGGATGCATCGCCCCTGGAGGTGACTAAGAGTTTCATTGGTCAATGACTATGGGGAAAGTCAAATAGATTCCGCACTTCGAAGGAAGGAAAAGAAGTTCAAGGGCATTGCTTTTTTTCTGGTTGGGGGGGGGGGGAAGTGGTCCTGAGAACTTTGACGACTGAGACTTTGATCACATTGACTGGTGGATTCGGTTACTCAATATCGATGCCTTTTCCTCGGATCTATCTTCTCGGCTGGGCTTGTGGACCTCCGCATCGGTTACCTGGCATGCAGAGGTGTTCGTTGAAGTGAGGGGTTTGCAACGTGCCATCGAACCGGGTGTTCCAAGGTTGCTTCCCCTCGTCAAAACTGTCGTCAGCCTGCAAGTCAATGATAAGTAATATTAGCACCAATACACACGCAACTTCGGTCTGTCATCACCAGACTTGTTGCGGTCAAGTTTTGGAGAAGGTCGGCCTACTTGGCGCGGGGCCGGGCACATTACAGGATGAGATCAACTGTGCAGTGCAACCTAATTTGCATAAGACAGGTGACCGGCGGTGGACATCACGAACTTGGGGAAAGCTAGTTTCTGGACGGCATGGCCTGCCTTCGTCTTGATGGTTGAGGTGCGGGGAAGGTGCAGGTCGCAAGGAATGGTGTTGCATCGTCACTGTTGCGACTTGAGGAGATGCAGGCCTGTACAAACAGACACATGGAGTGATTTGGTTGTGCTTGAGTCCTTAAGGTTTCTAACGGCGATGAAGCAGCTCTGAGCCAGTCAAATTCCGAATAGACATCGCCAGCCTACTCGCTCAAGCACGAAAAGCATCACGCAGAAAATGAGGTGGCTTGGGTCCAAGAGCGTCACTTGCGTGGCTGTAATCCTGTTGTCCGGGCAGACCTTGGCCCAGGTAGATTATTCACAATATGTGAACCCCCTCATTGGGGGCAGTGGGCCCCGCGAAGGCCAGGCCTGTGAGCAGCGCGTTGTATGATCCCCACAAATCTCCATTGACTTACACTCGGTCATTCAAGATGGCGGCGGTGATATCTTTGTCGGTGCCGCCGTGCCGTTCGGCGTTGTCAAGGTCGGCGTCGATACCTGGGAAGGCTTCGGCAAGGACTCAGTCACCAATGGAGGATGGACGCCAATGGGTAATGTCACGGCCGTCACGATGCTTCACGAGAGTGGAACAGGAGGAGCCCCGAAATACGGCATCATTTCACAGATGCCCTTGACAACTGTCGACTCTCCTGTCAATGTTCTCGATAACCGGACTTATTTCCAACGCCGTGTGGTGGAAGATACCGCCCGTGTCGGGTACTACAGGACAGAGCTACTGAATGGAGTCAAAGTGGAACTCGGTGCGTCAAGGCACGCGGGCTTCATGCAGTACTCTTTTCCCGATGGCGAGAAACATATCTTGGTTGATCTATCTCACTACCTACCTAGCGAGTCGGGAGGTTACACCAGCCAAGTGTATCTTGCTGGCCATATAGACATTTCTGGAGCCGAGTATCGTGGTTTTGCTACATACGGCGCCGGCTGGAACGAAGGTGCACCATATACTGTCCATTTTTGTGGCTCCTTTGAGTCGCCGCCTGCTCAGGTCAACACGTTCAGGGGAAGGAATACGGACCCGATGATCAGGTATTGTTAACCCCACAGAGATCACAGAGCTGAATTATTTTGTCCAGTTTCATATTCTGACGATATATACTATAACAGGTACCACACGTTCAGTGACGAAGCTATTCCTCAGGCAGTGTTCAGTAACAGCACTGCCCAATACTCCGCGTTGAAGGGGGGCTCTGATTATCTCGGTGCAATCAACGATCGAATTGGCGCAGTTTTCACTTTTGACAGTGGTGCGGCCAGTACAGTCAAATCCCGTGTTGGCGTTTCCTTCACCTCGATTGAGCAAGCCTGCAACTACAGAGATGACGAGATCCCGAGCTGGTCACTCAATGACACTGTCGACGCCACCGTGAAGGAGTGGAATGAGGATGTCTTCAGCAGAGTCCAGGTCGACACAGATGAGAAAACTTCGAATCTCACTAATGTTCGGCTGCTGTACTCATCCCTTTACTTCATGCATCTGATGCCGAGCGATAGGACGGGCGACAACCCGTTGTGGGAGTCTGAGGAGCCGTACTGGGACGACTTCTACACCATGTGGGACATCTTCCGCTGCACGGTCAGCCTTTATCATCTGATCCAGCCGGCAAGATACGTCAGCATGATCCGTGCATTGATTGATATCTGGCGATTTGAGGGCTTTCTGCCGGATGGGAGGAGCGGGAACTACAACGGCTTGACGCAGGGAGGAAGCAATGCCGATAACGTGCTGGCGGATGCATACATCAAGGGACTAGGTAGAAACAGCGACGATCCATCGATGACAATTAACTGGACAGCTGGTTACCAAGCTATGGTGAAGGACGCAGAGGTCCAACCTTACAACACGTTCAGCCCCTTGGATCAGACTGGCAGCGTCAAGGAGGGCCGCGGATCACTCTATGACTGGATCCCCCTGGGCTACATTTCGAACAACAGCTCGAGGTCCGTGTCGAAGACTGTTGAGTACGCACTGAACGATTTCGCACTGAGCGTTGTGGCTTCCGGCGAGGGCACGCAAGCCGAAGTCGACAAGTATTTAAATCGCTCAGCGGGATGGCAGAACCTCTGGAACCATGATATAGTTCATGCCGGTTTCACGGGCTTTCTGGCGCCAAAAGATGATCAGGGGAAGTGGGTTTCCCCGGAGACGTACAACCCGGCGGTCTGCGGGGGTTGCGAGTGGGATGCTATCAGCTATGAGGCCACTCCATTTGAGTACAGTTTCGTGGTTCCGCATGACGTTCAGACGCTCATTGAATCCATGGGAGGTGTGACAGAGTTCGAACGGAGGCTTGACTACATTGTAGGTTTCCATTCATGTCAGCTTGCCGTGCTATTACTTGAAGTGGGTTTAGGCATACCGGCTGACCTTCTCGTGCAGTTCATGCCAAATACCACGGAACAAGACCTGGAAGAGAACGGCGCCGGAATCACTACAATTATGAACATCGGGTATGTCCACAGATACTCTTTTCTGTACTTTTCTTTCATTAACAAGAGCGACAGCAACGAGCCGGATTTTGCAACTCCATATCTCTACAATTATTTGAACAAGCAGCACAAATCAGTCAACCAAACTCGTGCACTGGCAAATCAATTCTTCCACGACGCACTGTATGGCGTACCTGGAAACTCAGACGCGGGCGCACTCAACTCGTGGCTTATCTGGCAGATGCTCGGGCTGTATCCCATCGTGACCCAGCCCGTTTACCTGTTAGAGTCCCCTTGGTTCAGTGATATTAACACGACGATCAATGGCAACAAGACACTCCGTATCACGAGCAATGGCGACAACATATCCCTTGGACAGAGTGGGTTTTTCGTTGAGTCCGTGAAGATCAACGGGGAGGACTGGGAGAGGAACTGGTTCAACCACGAGGACATCATGATTGAGGGAGGCACTATCGAGTTCACCGTTGGTGGCACTGGGCAGTCGTGGGAAACCGGAGATCTGCCTCCAAGTCCGGGGCACAAAGTGCTTGACACTCCCTGATCATGTGCCTTTGATGCCCAAGTTCCTTTCATGCGCAGATGCATTCAGGTCTGCAAGCGTGCTTCTTGATTCCCTTCTCTTCCCTTACCTTTTGGCCGGTGGGTTGGCGTGCCTTCATCTCTTCTGGAGGAAGGTGCTGGGCCCCCTGGCGTGCGCTGCACCCTTCCCTCATGCTCTGCACGCTTTGCACCCTTCCTATACTGTACCTTTCGTAAATAAACTATTCACGAAAACAACTATACTTACATGGTTCTATAGAATTAAATTACTCCCAGAACTGAGCCGTTTACTTTTTTGGAACTGTTTCAAAGCAGCTCTAGTAGGGAAACTGTTTATCGTATTCGTATAGAGACCGGATATTTGCACCCGCAAGAACGGAGGGTACACCCGTACATTGCTAGCACTAAACCAATACCCACACCTAATTTGCACGCCCAACGCCCAGTTTGTATACCCAATCAACACATGTAATTATCCCTGGGTGTGTGAATTAGCTATGCTAATCGGGTGTGTGAACTGGGTGTATAGGTGTTGGGTGTATAGGTGTTGGGTTTGTAGGTATTAGGTGTAGGTGTGCGATTAGGCCTGGGTGATGTGCTCTGGCTGGCTGTAGCTATGGCGTGAGTGATGTACGGGTGTACCATCCGTTTTTGCGGGTGCGAATATCCGTTCTCTTCGTATAAGCCCGGTCCTGTGGACTGAAGTTGGCCAGAACGTAGACGTCACCTCGAAATCATTAGCACCTGTACGGAAGTGCCGATGGCAAAACGCTCCGGCTCTAATGACTGTGGGGTCCGCCTTCCTCACCTACTATTGTGATGATGACCACACCTGAGTTGCAGGACGCACCTGCCTGGATACACAATGGTGCGTGTCCCCTGGAGTAAACAAACCTCCAGATCTGGCGCGAAGATATCGTCCTTTCTTCTCTGCATATCATTGTCCACCAACGCCGCCGCCGCGACCGCCGCCCTGCCAACCTTATTTATCGAATAATCAAATTATTGATAAAGATCTTAACCTATCTTTGGGTGAATTCACCAGTCTTCGCGAAATAACATGGGTGCAGTCTCTTGTCTATTTAGAACTCCAGACTAACCTGTCTCCAGTTGACCGCCGCCACACCCGCGAAGAGCACTGAGCAGACAAGGGGGGATCCTCAGTGACGACGACGCGATGACGACGATGAAGATACCTAGAACCCACCATTTCAAACATACGTTTTACACGTGAAAGAAAACGGCCACATCTCGAGCCTTGACGTGGCGGACCGACTTTACCCTTGTTGGGAACCAATCGAGATCACCAATCATCCATCACCAACAACTTGAAACATCCAGCGGCATTTTCACGTGTGGCAGCACCTTGCTCCGGGTTCTAGGTCACCTCGGTTTCAGTTCACATCTTCACTCCTCTACAATCATCAGTCATCAGCAATCATCAATCAACCATAGTCTTCAATCGACTGCAGTCTTCAAGCATCATATCAGCGTCGTCGACCCGTTTGTATCCAGCGACCGGCCAATATGCTCTTCAATTCAGCTCGAAAGTTTCGGCCATTATTATCATCATCGGATTTGTCTCCTTTTGAGAAGGGAACTGCACCATTTGTGCTACGTTATTTCGGTCACAAGTCACCGAGTGCCTTGGTCCTTGGCTGGGTTGGGCGGATTTGTGTGGCAATCGACTGGCGGAGGCGGTTCTGTCTTCAAGTAAAAAAAGAGTGACGGCATTATGTAACCTTTTGCGGCATCATGAAGGATGGTCATAGGAAGAGACAACCAAATCAGTTGCTCCTTGGTCAATTTGACCATAGTCTGCAGGAAAAAGAAAGTATTGTTCAAAGTTAGAATATAACACGAGCTCCGTAGAACCTGCAACGTCATGCTGATGGGTGCAGCGCAGCAATGCAAGATGGAAATACGCACCGCGTCTCCTGACGGCTAATTGATCCTCAGACCTCGGTTCATGTTTCAACACATGCATGCAGTGCTATTCTGCGATCAGGTTTTGGCAGAAAACGGACAAACACTACTGGGTACGGCCACCGCTGTCACACCGTGACACAATCCTCCGTCCCGCCCCGCCTGACCGGCGACTGGTCGCTTAAACAAGCGAGGGTTGCTGACAGCAGCAAGCACAAGCTGTTTCGCATGACAATCCGATAATTGCGCAGGGCTAGCTCCATGCAGGTAAATAGTGGCAGTTCAGACACCAAGACCATGACGAAAATGTTGAGACGAACTTGGGGTACTTCATTATGAGGCACGGAGTGACACCTTTCGGGGCCAACATGCGAGCTTCCATGTGGTCTGGAAATTACGGGAATGGATGAGACTGATAGAGCTTGGTCATCTCGGAGTGGTTCAGTATACTACCATCGGCCTCAGCGGTGCGTCAAGGGCTGGGATATCTTGCACTGTCCGCTTGCAAATTACAAACACCCTTTCAGACTAATCAATGATCTTCTCTTGTCCCACAGCTCACTCGAAAACCTCAATCACAGATTGATACTTTGAATCCAAGTTTCAGTGGCCTCGTCGAGATTTCAACATCTTGAGAACAACCTCGGTGACTTCTTCAGGCACACTCATGAATGCATTGTGGCCCCCGCTGCACCGGAACACCCGGACGTCAACGCCCTCGCTCCCCAGCCTCGCAATGCTCATCTCCTGGAACTGGGGCAGCATGGCGGTGTCCCCCTCGCAGACCAGATAGCTCGTGGGGATCACCCTGAAGGCCGCCTTGCCGGGAGGACAGTCGACGGTCGCGAACTGCGCATCCACCTGGTGGGCCACCAGCATGCCCACCGCCTTCTTGGTCTCCTCGTCCGGCAGGTCGTTGAAGAAGTAGTACTCCGGGTTGTCCATCTGCAGCGTGCCGTCGGGCTGGGCATGGAACATCGGCGGGAGGACGCCGCCGAACATGCTCGCCATGGACTGTCCTTCGTTCGGGGGGCACGCGGTCACGTAGAGGATATCCACGACCCCGCCCTTCTTTGTGTCACCCTTGACTGCAAAGTCGCCCAGGGCAGCGGTCGACACGGCCCCTCCATAAGAATGAGCGACGACGGTGAGCCGGGTGCCCTTGGCGACCTCCGACGCCGTGATGTCCCGGATGAGCTTGACGTCGTCCCCAAAAGTCTTGTTGGGGGGCACCACGTTGTTGTTTGTTGGGAGGGTGGGGCAGATGGTCCGGATCCCTCTCGACTCGAGGCTGTTGATCAGTTTGCGATAGTGACCCGGAACGTGCCAGGCGCCCGTCACCAGGAGCACGGCCTCATGTGCGCGCTTGCGATCCATTTCTTTCACAGCAAAATCGGGAGGACACGAGGAGATGACTGGAACTCTCAATTGAGATCAGATGCCTAGCTCTTCTTTATTAACCCAAAGTCATACGGTCCGGGGAGGGGAGCCCCCAGGGGTCAAAAAGTTTTCTACTGCAACTTTGCTGCATGTTGGACAACCCCGCCTACACCCCCCTGCCCATAGATGGAGTGATACACAGCAGTAAGCTGGGGTTGTGATTGGGAGGCGGGAGTGATTCATGTGGAAATCTGCTTTGCGACGGTAATCACTGGCTGTTGAGATCCTGTCTCGATTGCCGACATGAATGGCCAGTGATACGTGTAGACCCGCAAGGGCCTCTCCTGCATGGTGCAAGACAAAGTGATAACTGACACTGACAGAACCAACCCATAACCTGCCAGAGTCTCACTAGCTGCTGCAGGTGCGGCCCGCGATGCTACCCAGGCATGGGGGGCTCCAGAAGTATGTCTTCTTTCCCCTCCGTGTAGGGTGATCGGAGCCCACCAGGACCAAGTCCGCGGCCGTGAGTCCGTGACATACAGATACGAATGTTGGTGCAGCACGCTGATCCCTGGCAGGCTTTGTGTTGTTACACGCATTAGGTCCAACGGTCGACCAACTCAACAATGGACCAACAATTTTGAAGAGAGCCAACGGGTAGAGGGGGGAACTGTGATCGCAATCAATTGTATTGAATTCTCATTGCCATCTGTCTAATTTCCCACGTGCCGGTGTCCCTTCGTTGTTTCGAGCAACCTGTAGTATCAACCTCTCCCTCTTTTTTCATCATGCAGACCCGCAGCAATGTAAACGTGTACACATTGCCGTCAGACCGAGTACCCAATCTGACGCGCATTGCAACGAGGGATGGTGGTTTGGTCGAGTCAAGCGAGACGCGTCAAACCCTGATGCGGGATTAGATGAGAGCGAGTACGCGAACCAAAGAAATAGGTAGCAAGCTCGAGATGAATTGCAAACCTACCCGAACTATTGGGAATAGTTAGCGTAATGTTCCAAATACTGTCGATCTCAGGGACACTTACGTTTGAGGCCATAGCTCGTGGATGAGTTGGGTGAATTCCCCGGTGCACTAGAGGCAGTCGGGCTCGCACAAGCAGGTCCTGTCGGTATTTGAGCAGCAGGGTCGTTGACGGAAACATCTGGCCCCGGAGAGGGGAACTTAGTATCAACTCCCTCCGTGTTCTTGCAGCCGTTGATGTTGGCGACGAAAATGCCAGGCCTGTCAACAAATGAGGTCGGCTGTGTCCCAGCCTGCCCACCTGAGATAGTAACAACAGCGCAGTTCATGTACATCTCCCTGTTTCCTATCTTGTTGAACCAGGTCCAGGCAAACACGGCTTGATCGGACGACGTTGTGTCAGAGGGGAGCGTGAAGGAAAACGAGCTGGATGCTGCACCACTGACTGGACAGCCACCCTCCCAGGAGTGAATGACATGGAAATTTGCCCCCGAATCTGTTGATATGGCAGCTTGACACGAACCTCCATCGTGTGTAGAGCCGCCTTCTAGTGTCAGGTTGTAAATCTGGCCTGCTATCCAGTTGGCGACCGGGGTTGCCTCCGATGTCCCTAGGAGTTTGAGGCTTCCCTTGCATGGGTAATCTGACCCGTCCTCGTTCAGAGGGTTTGTGAGAGAATAATCAATATCATTCCCGGAATATGGGTTGCCTTTGTACCGAAGAGCTGGCGGGTAAGCGAGAAGCATGTGAGAAAAAGCGCCTCCTGAGAGGCATACGATTGAAGACAGCAGTCTTACTGCGAACATCATGAAGCACAGAAATAAGAAATCTCGTTTCTTTCGCGATGAATGAACTGCGATGTGGTGAATGTGAGGAAGAGAAGCAGAGGAGAATTGAAGGTAGGACGGTCTACCCTCCAAACGAAGTTATAAGATCCCAAGGGAGCACAGCCATAGCAAGACGTGACAAACCGGAACTTTCAAAGCAGAAATTTGTCACCTCGGCCCTCCGGACTTCGTCTCCTGTGAGAGTAGACCATCACGTACAAATGTGCCGTTAGCTGTCATACAACGTCGGGAGACACCCGTCTCAGTATCACTTGTTGCCCTTGAGGACAGGCGAACGAGACCATCTTTCTCGCTGCAAATATATCCATATCCAGAAAACCGACATGTGTGACGTCTTCCAGCTTAGATTAGATCCAGGAATGCGTCAGATACGGTCTGACGGAACTGACATTGCAGCCAAATTTGGAGGGTGCTCATGTGTGCTGGCTCCAATACGGCAATACCAATCAACGGCAGCCACCCAGAACGAAACAGCCGGAGAACAAGGGAGTCAGTATCAAGCTTTTCGTAATAACGTGGCACCCCAAATGGTATCAAGCTCAATGGTGGTGTTAGGACCGGTAAATGGTGAGTTGAACATGTGGTCGCTGCTCAAGTGAGGGGGACCACTCCATGAGACGCGTAGAAGCATGCAGTCAGGTGGCTCACCATCGCACAAAGTGGCAGAACAAAATAAATTGTCCAGTTTCATTAGTTTCATAGGAAAAGCGGAGACTGAAGGGAGCATGTAGCCCATCTTCTTTGTGAAAGCTGGGAGGAGGTAGGCTGGCTCGCCGGGGCAGAACAAACTCCAGAGTGGGACGTGAACAACCCTCCATGAGTGTCATGCCGCTTTAAAGGCAGTGTATGGTACTGGATCTTTGTGATTGGAAATTCACGGCATCACAATAGAAATATGGCGAGACACGAAGACATTCTATGCAAGAGTAGTTCATTACGTGGTCCAAACCACATTAGGGATGACCTTGGTCGGAGGTATAGGTAGAGCAAAGGGGGTAAGCTAGGCACCCATGTGAGAAAGCTTGGGTCCCCACCTGCGCCACAGAAGGTACCACGGCTAGACTTAAAACGCCGCGAGGACTTCGTGCACGGTTCACTTTCTGCTCCGTTCATCAAGCTGCGCCACAATGGACTCCAATCGCATGGAGTTCCCAACTCTGGTGAAGGGTATCAACCCTCTCACCAGCCGTCTGGAGCAGCAGCAGCAACAACAACAACAACCATCTTCGCCCTCGCTCTCGCCCTCGCCCTCGTCCTCGTCCTCAACCCTCGTTCCCTCCGTCGCCTCCTCGGAGGCAATCTTCCCCTTCGAAATGGACGCGCCGTCCCCTATGGGCTCGGCCCCTGCTCCCGCCGTCGCCGCGGGCTCCTCGCTGTCTCCGCCGTCGGAGCAGCTCAAGAAGGCGAAGAAGAGAAAGGTCTTGCTCATGGGCAAGAGCGGCTCTGGAAAGAGCAGCATGAGAAGTATCATCTTCTCAAACTATCTTGCCGTTGACACCAGGCGTCTGTAAGCACTCCTCACTCACTTCTCACCGTGCCCCTCGCTTCATTCTCACCTCCTCAATCATTGCGCTCGCTCGTTTTCATTTCTCCTGCCATGAGCTATACGAGAGTCAGTCTTTCTTGACGTGGACCGTTGTTTGTTTCGCGTTTGTTTCGCGTTTCTGTCGAGCTTGCGTGTTGTGCCCCTCACTGGCGATGAAGTCGCTGCTGACCAAACGACTCACACAGCGGCGCGACGATCGACGTCGATCTGTCGCACGTCAAGTTCCTCGGCAACCTGACTCTGAACCTGTGGGACTGCGGAGGCCAGGAGGCCTTCATGGAGAACTACATCAACCAGCAGCGCGCGCACGTCTTCAGCCACGTCGGCGTGCTCATCTACGTCTTCGACATAGAGAGTCGCGACGTCGATCGCGATCTCGCTACTTACGTGTCCATCGTCTCCGCACTCGCCCAGTACTCCCCGGCCGCAAAGGTCTTCGTCCTGGTCCACAAGATGGACCTCATCATGCCGAACATGAAGGAGTCGGTCTTCAACGAGCGCGTCCGTCTCGTCCGCAACAAGACCTCCGAGGCCCTGCAGAATATCGCTGGCCTGGCTGGTCCCGCTCGACTCGACATCCAGCCGTTCGCGACGTCCATCTGGGACCAGTCTCTGTACAAGGCGTGGTCCTCCATCATTCATGACCTCATCCCCAACCTCGCCGTCATCGAGCAGGAGTTGGCCGCACTGGGTCGTGCCATCGAGGCCGAGGAGATCCTCCTGTACGAGCGCACCTCGTTTCTCGTCGTCTCATCCTGGAAGTCCGAGGAAGGCCAGCGAAACCCGCACAAGGACCGGGAAGAGAAACTCTCCAACTTCATGAAGACGTTCAAGAACCGACTCGCCATCTGGAGCGGCACCTCGCGCAACTCGGACCAGTTCAAGGAATTCCAGCTCAACCTCGGCGCCCTCTTCAGCTTCATCATCATGACCTTCACGACCAACACCTACATCCAGCTGGTCCTGCCGCCTGGCGAGGCCCGCTTCAACTCTGCGAGGCTCAACACGCGCATCGCGGCGTCGTACTTCGAGCGGCTTGACGCGCCTCCCGCGAAGGATGCTAAGGGCTCCGTCGCCGGTTCTGCTAAGGGCAGCGACTCTAAGGGACTCTCTGCGGCCATGGGCGGACTGGAAGTCAGCGGCGACGAGCAAGTGCACGCTCAGGACGACGAGCGCGACTTTGGCGCGCAGCCTGGCGGCCCATCTACTGCCCCTGCTGCCTGAGCACATTGCCGAGCACATTGCCGACCAGAATCACCCTATTCCCTCTGAAGTCTCTGCGACCATGAGGGCTGTACATCACTCACCCGCCCCGTTACGACGTGACGATCCTGAATGACCACACTAGATCGAATCGGATCACATTTCTTCTCATTGCATGGCGTGGCATTTCTCAGTTGACCGGAATTCCTACGATACCCCAGTGTTTGCCTCGTTGAGCATCCAACACGAAATCGGCGTTGAAGGATTCCCTGTTTCAGTATTTGCACAACACCCCCTCCCCAACCAAAAAGCCTCTTCTTGTCAGATGCGACCAGTTACGACTCATCGTATCGCCTTGCATCGCGACAGATGGACGACGATGACTCATCGCGGGCACCTCCGCGGTTTTCACAGGACTGCACATCCAATTCTCTTTTTCGGCTCTGCATCACCTCGCAAGTACCCCAAGACGGCGAACGGAGGAAAGATAGACAGAGAATGTACAGGTACAAACGGTTGGTTTTACAAGCTCCCAATCCGAGCTTTTACACTGCGGACGGACACACAGGCAGGCAGGCAGCCTCTGGATTCTAGTCACTAGGGTTTAATGAATCGAATCGTCCGTTCGTCTTTCAACATTGCGCTTGTTTCTATTGAGCAAGCTTGACGTTGGACTTTGGCATGTTCTTGCGTGAATGAGTTGCCGTTTCGTGGGGCAGCGCTCGATGAGTTGGCCCAACTTAGACAGCTGCAGCCAACGTAGGCTCAAGGGTAGCAAGAAATGTAGTTGACCAGGACAGTTCGTCCGTTGTATCTGTGGTCAAGAGCGGAACGGCTTTTGCTTCCCGCGGTATGACGCCACGAAATTGTAGTCATCAATGACTTTCCACATGATCTCAAGATGCATCAATTGTTGTGTTGAACGGAGAAATATTGGGAAACACTGGGCCAGTACTTGGAGTGACGGCCCCTCCAAGACCTCGTAAATGGCGAGCAGCACGTCCTCATGGAGTCAAGTAGACAACAACACGGCTCTACGAGGGGCAAATTTAAAGTAGTAAAAAAGAAGACGGCCAGATTATTAAGAATGGATCCAGTAGTGAGAGATTGTGCTCAAGGCAAGTCCAAGGCAGCATCTCTCTTCTCAGTCCTCGGTGTCTATTAGACAGTCTATGGAACCGTGCCAAAGTTTTCACGCCATAACGCCGACCTTGCTCGTCATGCTGCTTTTTGCCGCCTTCACTCCTTACTCTGAGCCAACACAACCTAAGCCCACTTGACCACGGCAATACCACCCCGCTTGAAAGCGTCGACCTCCTCCAACTTCTGGCTGTGGTCTGTGTACTCCTTGCTCGGGAAGGTCGACTGGACGATGAAGGCACGACTGCGGGTCTCAGCCGACGCACTGCGGGCGAACTGGTAGAGGTCGCCAATCGTGTGTGTCAGGTTGAAGCGGGCGGGCAGTCTTGAGCCGTCAGGCATCTGGAAGCGGATAGCAACACTTGGCTGGCTGCTGTCGACATCTGCGACCGGGGCAGGGGCAGCAGCAGGCGCACTGCTTGCAGCAGGAGCTGTGGCCGTCTGCACGGAGGCGGATGCCGCGTTGCCGTCACCGGGAACTGGGCTTCCCAGCCGGCGTCCCTGTCCTCCAAAGGGCTTGTAGATGCGTGGGAGCTGGTGCCAGTCCTCCTCGTGCTGCTGGAGGCGCACGTCACAACGCTGGCCATGCTCCACTTCCATCAAGTGAAGGGGTGCGCGGCCTGTGCGGATCATCTGCAGGTCCATGGCGTGCTCGGGGTCGTCGTAGCGGCGCAGAGGGCCGTCTTCGATAGAAAAGCCGTCGCGCCACAGGTGAAGAGTGCGCGTCACCACGGGAAGCTCCTCACTGCCGCGGGCAGGAGCACGCGAGCTTGACGGGTCGGGAATGGTTCGAGAGTCGGTGCCCTCGCCGCCAACCGTGGTGCCGGCGCCTCGGAAGTTGGACGACTGGGATGGACCGGGGGCGTCTTCCTCACTGGGGGCACGCTTCGCGTTTCTATATGCTTCCTGTCAGCTTCTCGCTCTTAGTTCAAGAGAATGAAGAGGCCACGCAATGGAGAGGTCCGAAACGTACGCCTTCGCCTTTGCGAGAATGTCCTTGATGACGTTCTGGGGGTCTGCGGGGTTTCGACCAGGGTCTTGAACAGCAAGGCCGGACTTCTCACCACCAGCAAACAAATCTCTGGGTCCTCTGCGATCAGCCAGGTCGTCCTCCTCTTCGTCATCATCGTCATCATCGTGATCGTGACCACCTCCACCTCCAAGGGAGCTCAAAGTCGCCAGACCCTTCTTCTTAGCGGGTTTCTTCGAGGCAGAACTGGAGGAGGGAAGGGCGGATTGAGGGGCGGGTCGGCCGTCGAGAGTTCTGGGGCCGCTGTACGCGGGTTCTGGTGCAGGCTGGGAGGAACTGCCGGCGCCACCAGCAGCCTCATCCTCGTCGTCGGCGAAAAAGGAACCAACGGCAGCGGAAATGTTCCAACTGCTGGCCTCGAGATACTCCGCGGCCTGTTCGCAGTTAGAGGGTCGATCTCCATGTGCTTCTCCAGTCCAGCCAAAAAACGTTGAGTACATACCCGATCGGCACTGGCACCGGTGAGCTCGCAGAACTGCATGACGAGGTCGTCGTGATCTGCCATGATTGCTGATTTCGGTGGCTGGTTAGGAGTAAGGCCTGCTCTGATGCTTTCACACAAGGTCGCTGTGTCGAAGCGAGGTGTGTTGCTATGTGTGGCTTTGCAACTCTGGGTGTGCCTGAGCAGGGCTTGAGGTTTGAGAATTACACAGGGGTAGGTTTGTCACAAGTCTGAAAGCTTGTGAAAGCTGAGGAGGATGGGAAATAAGTTGCCTCCCGATGTAAGGGAAAGTTCCAGAGGCCCTGCAGGCAGCTGGAGTCTTGACCAGCACCACCCCGCGATCGTCCCCAAACTCGCACCTGTCCCGGCAGGCACCCCGCTATGACGAAGCTTCCAAGCTGCCTAAGTGGCCAAGTGCCTAGGTAAAATGACAGGGTAGTCTGGTACCTGAATACAATGGCTAGCACATCCTGTTTACAAACGCACGGAGTTATGAACCAGAAGGAGATCAGTTACGAATTTCACTTGTTTGGCATATGAGAGACACCTATGGCTCCTATGAAGGGTGTATCTCATCAAAATTGGTCCTCACAGGAGATGTAACAGGAAGCTTAGGGACCAGCTGAGCAGGTACCTGGGTACCTAGGTAGATAGAGACCACACTTGGAGATGCTCTCTCCATCTTTCGCTCGCTCATTGCTCTGAAGCAACACAGCAGCAAATAAAATGCTGCCACACCCAGAACTTGCCACGTTAGTGTGGAACACTATCAGAACATCAAAATCATAAGGAAGATATTGAACCGTCGTACACTTCCGTTTCCCGTCCCATTCCGTCGTGGCTACCAGCAGTAGCTATCTAGGGACACGGCGGGTTACATGGTCGGGAGCTAGGGCCAGGTCCCCATCGGAGCTCACTGGCTGTCAAGCGTCACACGCCCCCCAGTCCCCCAGAACGCCTAGCTGCCGGCCCGCTACACCATTCCAAGGTCGGCCGACTGAGTGCGTGGAATCACCGACACCGACGACACCGCTTGCCCTCCTGGATCTTAGGTCCCAGATCACCCTTGCCCACATCACAAACCAGCAACAGCTGCAGCCAATCTCGCCATTGGCATCCTCGCTATAGCATTGCTACACTCGAAGAGTCCTGCCCACGCAATGGCGTCAGAAGAACCCTCAAACCCGATGGCCGAGTCCGGCGTCACCATCCGCTCCGACAGCGAGCAGTACTCAGCAGGCGAGGACATCTCCACGTCGCCACCGTCCTCCAACTCTCCCCCGCTTGTCCTGTACCAGCCGCCGACCCTGTTTGGCATCATACGCGGCGCCGCGATCAACCTGTTCCTGCCGTTCATCAACGGTATGATGCTCGGTTTTGGCGAGCTTTTTGCACACGAGGCAGCTTTCAGGTTAGGATGGAGCGGCACAAGGGTATGTAGATGGATGTGATCCTCCTCCGTTCGGTTGAGCGGCCATGACTAACAGGATACCCTTCGCGCAGGTCTTCCCCCTGTCGAGGCGGCAACAACACCCCGCTGGCCCTGGCATCGAAGTGCGTGACAGGCCCAAGACGCAGCCCGACCTGGACGACCTCACCAGCCTGGAGTGACTAGCAGATCACCAAGACAGCTTCAACCCGAAGGCTTAGCTGGCGGGCCGCCGAGGCTCAGAGCCTGGCCCCCTCGAGCCGGACGGGACGCGTGGTGAGCAAGTTTTGGGCCTGCAAGAGCGGCGGCACTTCGGCTTGGCTGTTGTGGCGGCGGGAGCGGCAACGGCAAGACCTAGACGAAAATGTAAAGAAGCAGAGATGGTCATCATATCTATCGTGCGAGAAGGGTCTCGAGGATCTCGATTCGTTGTACATACGCTTCGAACTGTCAAGCGTGGCGGAGGATATACCTGATGGCTTGCGGCGATTTGCCTTAGTCCAGCTTTGCATATCCAACAGACCGAGAGGTCTACATATAGACGCGAATGATCAATCCAGTCCAGAATACCAGCCGGGACCTCCAGCAGACCATGCACTTCTAGGGCAGTGCTCGTCGTTCGTTGCCCATGAAGCCCGGCCAAGAACGAGGCGCAGGCGTTGCATTCACCATCACCGCAGGGAAAACTCTATTCACCGTAGCAAAATTCTAAAAGTCCTCTTTTCTGTTGCATGAATTACAGCTACGCAGGCAACTCAATAGGTGCCAGAAGCAGTACAGCTCGGCGTCCGTCACGGAGTTCTGTTAGAGCTCCCAATCGCTCGCCCGCTACCTAGTGCTTCATATGACAATGCAATGCTGATGGCACGCCAGATGACTGGATCGTTGCATCGAACATACACTTATGTGAGATCTCTTGCTTTTCCCTTGGCCGACCAGTCTTTTGGAGAACGGATGCCAATGAAGTGTAATAGTGTTGGTTGATACCAAGACGGCCAAGTACCCCGGTACCTAGCACTCGACCCCAAGGTTGGAAGCTCCCTCATTGCCGGCCGGGAACCAGGTGCCGGCCTGGGCCCGACATCTAAAATTTAACGAGCATCACCGGTCGCGATCCTAACGAGCGACACATGCTCACCAGAGTTCGACAGAGCTCCAGCGATAGCCATGATTCCAAGTAAGGGTTTCGTGCGGGTCAGCCCTGGCCTTGCATTTCAAAATCCAGTGCGTGCGGCCAAGCATCCCTCATCCATGACGGCGCAAATGGAGAGCTGACCATTGCATGTGCAGATATTCTCCAGAGCTCCGGGTCGCTCAATACCGCGACAGGCCAGAACAGCCGCAAGCACAAGGCAATTTGGAACGAGTCTCAAGGCCAATGGCAGGCCCTTCCATGGCGCGTATCCAGCCAGCATCTCCTCCCAGGGCAGAATAGGAGCCGCCGCCATCCTTTCCTCCCAATAATCCATCCTCCTCTCGTCGACTCGACAGGCGCGCTTCGCTTCCACTGGCTCTGCCCCTTCACCCGCAGAGTCAGCCGCTTCCTCGCCGTCCTTTTCAGAGCCCTATTCTTCCCCTTCCGAGTTCCCCTCCGACTTCTCCTCACTCTCGGATCTCGATGGCGCATCTCTCCTCAACACCCCCGAAACGATCGGCTATCTGCACAACCTTGGCCTTGACTGGCTGGGGCCCGACCGCCATGAGCCAATGGTTCATCGAGCATCTTCACATATGGGGTGGCCTCCCATGGTGGGCCTCCATCGTCGGTTTCGCAGTCATCGTGCGTCTCGTCCTGGCCCAGCCCGCCCTGGTCGCCCAGCAGGAGAGCGTCAAGATGAACAAGATGCGCAAGGACCCGGTCTTCAACTCGCTTCAGGAGAAGTGGGTGATGGCTCTTGCTGGCGGTAATGCCATGCCCCACGCCGAGCTGATGCAGCTGCGGCTCCAGATGAGCCTCGTGCGCGAGCGCTACGGCGTCAAGGCCTGGAAAATGTTCATGCCAATGCTGCAGGCGCCCATAGCCTTCGGCATGTTTAGGCTGACAACCGGCATGGTTTCGCTGCCTGTGCCAGGTCTCGACACTGCTGGAACACTTTGGTTCACAGACTTGACTGTTGCGGACCCCTACATGATCCTGCCGCTTGTGAGCTCTGTCATGATGTATCTCAGCATGAAGGCAAGTCCAGGGTCCTCCTTTCCTCGCCTCTTGGGACACATATGAGCCAGCTCCATCAAACTAACACAATCTTCCTGTGACAGCGCGCGATTCCATATATGAACCCGCAACAAGCAGCCTTCATGAAAGTCACGCCGTGGATCCTCGGCCCACTCGGCTTCTTCATCACGTGGAAGATGGGCGCCGCCGTGCAGCTATACTTTGCCGCCACCGCCATCCTCCAATTCGCTCAGACAACCTTCTTCCACGTCACCTGGATCCGTAAGGCCGCTGGTCTCCCACCCCTGGAGGAGATGAAGCAAAACGCGAGCGGCGGTCCAGCCGGACCCCGTGTCAGCCCGTTCGCCAACAGCGGAGGGATCCAGTACCAGGTGCCCCGCACTATCAACACCACTGCCACGGAGAGCACTCCTGAGTCGGACAACCCCATCCAGGCTTTCAAGGGCGCATGGTCTGGCCTTCAGGACAAGCTGAAGAAGCGGAACGAGACAAATGCGCAGAAGGACACGAAGAGGGACGCCGACCAGTATGAGAAGACGAGGATTCAGGAGGAGCACGAGCAGTACTTGAGGCGGCGAGAGGCGGCTAGAAGGAACGAGTGGAAATGATCGTCTCAAAAAGTGGCATTAGACCCAAAGCACGATAGTCCTGGGAGGCAGTGACAAGGTCCCCAGAGGTGATAGCAAGTCAGAATCCCACCCCTGGTTACCTGCGGCTCTTAATCCAGAGAAGGAGGATTTGGCAGCAGCCCAGAGTATCGGGAAAATACTTCATACATGTAGAACACCAAACTTCAAAATCTATGTAAAACACGGCAGGCATTCAAGACGATGTACGGGAATGGGCCTCGGAGTCTATATGGAAAACTTCTCGCTCCTGCAATAATCCCAAGTTGGCAAATTCAATATTGCCTCATATCGCCACTCGACATTTAACATGAACTGTCTTTGTGGGCTGTCCCTCGACTTGGAAAGATTCCGCGATATCAGGTGATGGAAAAGGGCTGGAAGACGGGCATCTGGTAGACGCAGACTGATTTCAAAGGAAGGAAAACAAAGACTAAGGTGGTACTTGCACCTGGACAATGTATGTACTGCATCTGAAGAGGCAACTAAAGAAAGAAATGATCTCAGAGCAGATCATCCTAGACAGGAAGTTAAAAGTGAACCATGATATAACATGATATCAGGTCTTGCCCTAAAAGACCTCTCAGGAAAATGCTATCCCAGGGGGGTTCATCTGAAGTATAGAATGGCGGCTATCCTACCCAAAGGTTCAAGACTATTACCACATGAGGTTTGACTATTCCATGGGAGGGTATTCCATAAGAGGGTATCCCATAGGATGGTGTCCCAAAGGAGGCTATCCCATAGCAAGTTATCCCACAGGTGAGCATCCCGTAGCTGGTTACCCTACAGCTGGTTATCCAATAGGAGGATATCTCAGAGGAAGACATCCTGAATCATGTCTATTCCCTTGGCCAGTACAGTCTACCGTCCTTGTGAGTAGCTGTCTTCCACCACATTTGTAGTCTTCAAGCTTTTTGTTCTTCCTTGCCCCAGTGTCACAGAGACCAGGCTAATAAATATGAGCCTCCTGCTGAACACACCTCCAGGCAGGGCTGGTTTTGTTATCTAGCCCAGAGACCTGCGGGTACATGCTCAAGTGTTTCTTCACCGCGAATATCATATAGAACATCGGTTACCATAGTTCAGGAAGCATTTGCTAGTAGATTGTATAATCGTTACTATCTTGTCATGTTGATCTGATTTCTCCTATGACTTACTTCGAATAAAGTAGAAGGGTATATTCGATTAATCAGGGCACAAAGTAAGCCGGAACCTCGTTACCCTGCGCGCCTTGTATGGGTGCAGGTGGCCAGTCGGGATCCTCCTCCCACGCCGTCTCAAAAGTGTACTCGCCACTGCCCACCTTTTCGTCCACGCCACTCAACACAACTCGGGCTTCACCATTAGGCGGAACAGTGACATTCGTGATCATCCTTGAGCCTTCGATCTTCCAGGTGACGGAATAAGGTCCGTATGGGGAGTCAAACGACGTGTGAGCATGACGGATCGTTCCGCCTGGCCTCGGGGAGACCAGAGCGGCCTTCCAACCGGGCGAGGCAGGACTCAAGCCCCCGACCGTCCTGTGCAGGAAGTTACACACGGAGCCAAGGGCGTAGTGGTTAAACGAAGTCATCTGTCCCGGATTAATGGCGCTGTCAGGTAGCATCGAGTTCCAACGCTCCCACTGTGAACGAGATTTGATTAGCCAAATTCTTGGGGAAAGTCTCGAGACTGTGTAAACTCACGATAGTCGTCGCGCCCATCCCCACGGGATACAGCCAGCTGGGGCAATCACGCTCCTGCAGCATTCTATACGCGTGGCCGAGCATGCCATGGTCGGCGAGCACCTGCAGGATCACGGGCGTGCCAGCAAAGCGGGTGGTGATCTCGAACGCCTCCCACCGGACCACCCAGTCGAGCCTCGCCCTGGCGGTCTGGGCCTGCTCTTCTGTGCCGAACAGGTCGAAGAGCAAGGCGAGAGCGTAGGCGGCCTGCGTGTCACACGCCAGGCGGCCCGTTTTCGTGACGTACTCGGCACGGAACTTCTCAGTCATCTCTTCTGCCTTGTTGGCGTAGGAAGTGGCGGCGTCAGCCTTGCCTGGGTGTCGTGGCGATTTCTGCGGCAAGCCTCGTCACGTGGATCAGGTAGGCGTTGGCAATCAGGAAGGGACCGGTCGGGCTGTGGCCTGGGAGCTGAGGTGGTGATCGAGGATCCAGCCAGTCGCCATACTGGGGGGTGGTGCCTGCGTAAAAGCCTTGTTCGTTGCGAGGGACGCCATGTTCGAGCCACAGCCTCATGCTCTCCCATTGCCTTTCCAGTATTGCTCTATCGCCGGAGGAGTTGTACAGGTCCCACGGGGTTATGACAGAGCAATCGGCCCAGACGGCCATCGGTCGGCTTTCAGGGTGCCTTGGTGGGATCGGAATCTTTGGGACAATCACGGGCACTACGCCTCCCATTTCTCTTTGGTCCCCTTCCAGATCTTGCAGCCACTCGCCAAGAAAGGCAGCAGTATCAAAGAGGTAACTCGCGGTTGGAGCGAACACCTGAATGTCGCCTGTCCAGCCTAGCCGTTCATCACGCTGTGGGCAGTCAGTTGGGACTGAGACAAAATTACCTCGCATTGACCAGACGGTGTTCTGATGAAGCTGGTTAATGGAGGCATGCGAACAAGTGAAAGTGCCTGTACGACGAAGATCAGAGGAGATGACGATGGCCTTGAAATCAGATAAGGAGAGTTATGTGTCAGTGGATTGAACGCAGTGTCTCGAGTAAGAAGTGACGTACCTGAAGCCGTACCATGAGAATCTTGATTCGTAACCCTTTGTCTTTCCTCCAAGGTGAACGGTATTCTCGGCCCTGGCTGTTCTCAATCTCGAGGACTTCTGCGTGCCTGACCACAACTGTATCACCGCTCTTTCCAGGTATATCGACCAGTATCTTCAACCAGCCAACAAGGTTCTGTCCAAAATCCAGCACCTTCTTTCCTTTTGGTGTGATGATGAGTTCAATGGACTCTATCTCCATGACCCGCCTCACTGGGACAGCGTCGGGGGCGATGAGCTCTGCAGAAGGGAAGCCAACGTCTTCCACCGGGCCTTTCGGGGATGCCGAGGACGTGGGGGAGGGATCATCCAAAGCCGAATCAAATATCTCACCGTTGTAGATTTCCGCCCCCAGGATAGGACCTCCAAGCCACTCCCAGGAGCTTTCAGTGGCACACACGACCTGGCCATCGACTTCCAGCTGACCGAGGAAGCTCAATCGGTCACCCCAGATATTGGAAACCCCTGGCCGCCCAAGCCTCCCTGCATACCAGCCCTCGGCGATGTAGGCTCCAACAACATTTTCGCCGTCTACCAGATACGATGATATATCGTATGTCTGGTAGTGCAGACGGTGCTTATAGGACTGCCAGCCCGGTGCGAGAAGCTGGCCGCCAACTACCCTGCCGTTGATTTCCACTTGGTAAATACCGTGCGCGGTGGCATAAAGCCTCGCGGAGCCACCTTTTGGGCAGTAAAATGACTTCCTCACGCGGAATGGCCGCTTGGGCTCGTCCCTGGCTTGAACGGGTCCAGAGATGAGCCTCGCCACCCATCCCGAGCGTTCCAGGAGAGCAGCTTCTATAACCAGGGGTGCCCAGTTGGTGCGCGAGCCATCTCTACCCGCGGCGCACACCTTGACGTGGACCACTTCGCGGGATGGCAGTGGCAAGGTTGGCCATGGCACGAGAACAGACTCGGAAGAAGTGACGTTGAAGGTTTCCTCCTGTCCGTTGCGGGAGATGGCCAGCGTGTACGAAGCCTGAACCCATCCCTTCCTAGGTTAGGAACACTATTAGCTGAGACTTCACATGCGATCTTGGTGAGGCTTAATTACGCCGTAGTAGATTCGAATCGCCTAGAGATTCTGGGACGACTGTGAAAGATTACAAAACCATTGTGGTGATGCTCCGCGCTGACAGCTGCGATCCGAACATACATATCTTGGAACGTATTGTCAGGACCTGTCCTGATATCACTGAGTGAGAGTGGCACTCTGAAACATCATATATCCGAGAGTTCAAGACACACCAACTCGCTCAAGTCCAGTAGGCAGTCAACGTTTGAATGACTTCAAACTGCTATAACAGCTGGTCACTCTGCTGTAGCTCTCCAGGGTGTAAGGCAGGGATCTTGGCAGTAGATGGCACATTTTGGAGTCCTTCGGTGGAGACATGTCCCGAGTTACTAGTTTGCCTCCCTGGTCCTTTACGTATCTCAGGGGCAGTTCGTGAGGAGTAGTAGTATGCAAAGCCAGTCGCTGGGCACTATAGGGAGCCAAGTCCGGTTAACCCCAGCTTTCCCCAGGTTTTGGAGATTAACGTCGACCTACTCGCTTTCGGTCCGGGGCCAATGGTTATCGAACTCTCTCAGACAAAAGCAGACCAGATATTGATCAGCTTTTGTGATAATCACTAGAGGCTGGTCATATATTCTGTTGGAGTCGGTTCATAATGCACCAAGTCGTAGGCATTTAACCGCGATGTGTTTAGATGCTTTAAACACTCGTCTCCCCTTGAATGGTGATTATGTAGGGGTTCACCTAGCTTAAGAATTAAGAGTCTATCTCTTTTGTATGCCTGCAGTCTCTCCCCATTAGAGGTTATCCCACAGGAGGCTATCCCACAGGAGGCTATCCCACAGGAGGCTATCCCACAGGTTATCTCACAACCTCGAATTGGAAATTTGGCGCCCAAACCTCCCGATACCGAAGCAAAGCCGCCAGTCAAGCATAACGAGATCAGCCAGCATAGTGTGGTTCTCAAGTCCGACCATAATATTCTAGGTATTTGGGACACGGTCAAGAAGTTCAAAAAGGTCAGTCCTAAACTATAATCCTCAATAAACAAAGAGACATAACATTCCTGCTAACCCAGGGCACAGGCCGTTCTCGTGTACAATCTCCTCTATATCGCCGCTTCCGCCGACGGCTATCAAATCGTACTCAATGGTCAGTAGTAAGAGACAAGCAACAGTTCCCCTTTGCGTAGTCCTCCGCCCCTGGTCCACACACTAAGCACGGGTCGCGACCACGGGAAACGTAATCGCAAACCAAGGCTTCATCCAACACTTTGTGTTGGCAAGTACGACCCTCGTCACTTGGAAGGCTACTTTAGTTATCCCCTCCGGGGCATATAGCCTCTCAGAACTTAAATAGAACAACATTAATATATAATTACTTCCCATATAATTATTATATATATAAGAAACCTATTAATATTAATTAATAATTATAGGTATTATAAATTAATAAAATAAAAAAGGTAACCTTATAAGAATTTCCTTAACTTAAAAATCATATCTTCTTTATTAATAAGCGTTATATAGTAATAATTACTTCTTTAAGCCTTCCTATATTATTAAACTTTTTAAGTAAATATTATAAAAATTAAATAAATTAAGTAGCATTCCTTATAATATTTATATATATATTTATTATTATTTAAAAGATATGCATTTATTATATATAAAACTTTATTAAAAATAAACCCATTTTTAAATCCTCTTTAAAACTTAATAAAATTTAATAAAGCTTTATTTTGCTAAATAAATAAAGCTTATAATTATTGCAATTATTAAATAAATAAAACTTGCAATTATTATAATTATTAAAGCTAATATAATGCTATATTATAAGTAAGTATAAGTTATATATTATACTTTTAATTAACATAAAAGGACTTAATAATGGGAGAAAGCCTTAGCTTTTAAGGCTTAAAGAAATTAAAAACTTTTTCCTCTTAATAATTATAACTTGCTTATTATTAAATTATTATTATTAACTTACTTTTAAATATTACTTATTTTATTAATATTTCTTTATTTTATTAATTTTATTCTTTATAATATTTATTATAAAAACTTATAAATATAATTAATAATGCTAAAAAGCTATTAGCTTTTATTAAAGGGTATATAATTAATAAAATGCTTGCTTAAACTTTAATTAACTTAGCTTATTATAAATATATTAACTTAAAACTATAGTTTATAATCCTTATATAAAGAGCATTAATAAAACACTTAATTACCTATTTAATAAATACTTTAATAAGCTATATGCAATAAAACCTTTATAATAATAACCTTTTTATTACTTATTATAAAAATTATGCAATGTAAATATAGGCAATATTTAAAGCATTGCTAAATTCTTATTAATAATATTTAAAAGTTTTCCTTTAAATGCAAGGTATTTATATAAGATATAATAATTAATTTATAATATTATAATTAATTATTATAACTTAAGTTAAGGAAAGATTAAAATAAATTAATAATAAGCTTTGCAATGCTTTATTAACCTTAAAATTAAGTATAAATAAATATTATATATAACTTTAAAGATAGTAATTATAAGCATAACCCTTATAAAAGCTATAAGCAAGCTTTAAATAATAATAATTATTAAGAAAATAATCCTTAAGATAATATTTATTATTACTGCTAGCTTTAAATGCATAATTATAAAACTTAAACTTAATAATATAATTTATTAAAAATTAATATAGCTAGTAAAGTTTATTATTATTAATAAAAAGATAAAAATAAAGCTTATATTAAAGATATATATTATACTTAGCATAATCTTAAGTTGCTTTAAAAATGCCTTTATTAAATAAGAAATATAACTTATATAAAATTCTTTCCTTATAATATATTCTTAATAAATACCTAAATTTAGCAAAGTTAATATAATTTATAAAAACTTTTAATAATTTTTATAAGTATATTAAGGATTTATATAACTTATTAAATAATAAAATAAAGATATTTTTTAATATTTATTATTATGCTAAAATTTAGCTAAGTTAATTTTATATAATTTTTCCTTAAATATTTAAAAATTAAGTTAAGGCTTATTATCTTTATTTTATAAATTAAATTAATATATTTATAATAACATACCTTAAAATTAAGATATATTTTAATATAAACTTTAATTATTAATATTATTATATAAATTAAATAATAATAATATTTATAAAGATAAGAATATAAAATTTAAATAAAGATTTATATAAGGTTTTATATTTAATGCTTAATAAGCTGTAACTTTATTAATAAGTATTAAGCTAAGATTATATTAAAAAAAATAACTTAAAAATAATAATAATTAAAGCTTATAAAGAAATTCTTAAGCTAAAAATAGCTTTGTTTAAGCTAGCTTAATTATATAAAGAGTTATTTTTAAACTTAAAATTTATAATAAAAACATAGCTTAGCTATGTAATTATAATTTATATTATAAATAAAGTTTTAAATTAATATTATATTGTTAGCGGGTGCAGGGAATTACGTGAAAAATGGTATTATGCTGAATTCCAGCTGGCTATAAAAAGCTAGCTTTTATGCTTATTTTAAATATTCTTTTAAGAAATTAATTCTTCTCTTTTTTTATATATTTAATGCTTTAATTAAGCTTTTCTTATTTTTAAAAATTTTTAAAATATTTATCTTTTTTTTTTCTTTAATTTCCTTTTATTTTTATCTTCCCTCTTTATTATATTAAAGCTCCTCCTTAAGTTATCCTTAAAAGGGTTTAGCAAAACCTATTCTTTATTATTTAAGTGGCTTGTTTTTATTAATAATTTAGCCTAAGTTAATTTTAATCTTATATATCTTTAATTAATAATAAAAAAAAATAAGTAGTTAGCTATAAGTTAATTATTTATTAATTTTCTTTTTTTTCTTATTTTTATATTAAATATTATTAAATTATTTTATATTTTAGCTTAAAGCTTTAATTAAAGCTTATATTTATTTTTAACTTATTATAAAGAAGAGTTAAATATAATTAAACTTATAATAATATTATAAGCATTTTAAAATTATTTTTTAATTTTAAGATACCTTTTATACTTTTAATATTTAAATAAAATATTATTTTAATTTTATATTAATATATTATTAAGCTTTAAACTTATTTTAAGTTTCTTATTAAAGATTATGCTTAAAATATAATAATAATATAAACTTAAGATTAAAATAATGGATTTAAATTTTATAAATATTATTTAATATTAATTAAAAATGCTTTAAATTCTTAATTAATATTTATTATTATTATTATAATCTTAAGTTTAAAGTAAAAGGGGTTATAATGCAGAATTAAGATATTTATTTTACTTATTTATAAGTTTAATAAATAGCATTATATTATGCATTTTTATATTAATTAAATTATATAAAAAATTTAAACTTAAAGTATAACTTTATTTAAATTTTAATTAAATTTAAATTTAATTTATTAAGAGTTTAATATAATATTAATAAGTAAGATATTAAATATAAATTTAAGGGGTTTTTTTTATTATAACCTTATTATTCTTATTTCTTAATAAAATATCCTTTTATTAAATTTATTTTATTTATTATATTTATTAATACCTTTATCCTTTAAATTTTAATTTAAGTATTTTATAATAATATTAAAAATGAATTTTTTAAAAATAATTACTTTAATTAAAAATATTATTACTTTTAAGTTTCTTTATTTTGTTATTATTTTAATAAGAATTATTATAGCATATATATTATATTTTTAAGCTTAAAGTCTTTTTAAACTTGCTTTTATTTTAAAAATATCTTTAAACCTTAAAAACTATTTATTTTCTTTTACTTAAAGCTAAAAAAAGAATCTTAAGAAACTTATTAAGGGAAAAGAGAGATTTAATTTTACTTATTATTAATTAAAGTATTAATCTTGCTTTAATTAAATTTTATAATTTATTATTAATAATAAATTAAGAACTTAAATTAATATTTTAAAAATTTTATTTTTTATTAATATAATAATTTTGCTATAAATAGCTTTATTTATAATTTATAATTTAAATACTTTAAAGTTTAATAAAATTAATATTATTAAGGTTTTAAATAATCTTAAAATTATTAC